CAGTAAAAATTTACATTAACAAATATATTATGCAAATACGTACAAATTTTTCGGCATAAAAAACGTAAAATTAAAAAAAAAAAAAAAACTCAAAATTAAAATTAAGTAAGGAACTGCCATGAAAATGTTTGGCAATTGGTGTGACTTTTTAGCAACGCTTTTAGTTAAATAAATAAATATTTGCAATGGAATATATGAAAAAATAGATATATATATATTTAATTTTTAATTTATAAATTTTCAGTTTATAACTTTACAAAATAGACAAACTTGAGTTACACATGCAAAAAATATTAAAAAATAAAAAAATACAAACTAAAACTGCGCTGAACTGCAAAGTGAGCAAAACAAAAAATAATCTTTTAGTTTTGAACTTTTTTTTTTTTTTTTGAAAGTCCACTTCATAAATATGCATTATGTAAATGTATGCTAAAGTCTATGTACATATACATTTATTAAAAAATACAAAAAAAAAACACGATAGTTTTAAAAAATATATAAGTAAAATCCATTTTGGAGCAAACTCAGGGCATTATCAAGACTCACGACGATGTATACATGCATTTGATACCAAAAAAAAAAAAAAAAAAACTTTTCGATGTGTATTACAAATAAAAATTAAAAAAAAAAAAAGTAAAAGCAAAACATTTGTAAGCATGCAAAAAACGATTATGAACAACTCAGGTATTAAACATAAATATTGAAAAAACGAAAGGAATATTTAAAAAAAAAACACATTTTTTCAAAAAAGTTGTGCAATATTCATAAAAGTTTTCTAAATACGTAATAGTATTAAATAAAACTTAAAACAAAGCAAATAAAATTAAAGAGGTTCGAGTGTTCATAAATGGAGGTTAGGCATGAAAAGAGATAGAAATAGAGTTTAGAGCAAGAGTAAAAGTGAAGGAACGTGAGTTTTTGAAGCAAATGACGATTTAGCCTTATAATTTTATATTTATTTTATTTTGTTTTTATTCATACCAAGCCACAAAAAACAACAACACGACAACTACAACCACTAACATCCACAACAAACATACAAACAAACAAACACACACACAACACAAAAGATACAAACAAAAATAGTCAAATAAATAGCTAAATGAAAATGAGTTTATATAAAAGAAGGAAAACATAAAACTGTGATTACATTTTTTGTCGATGCTGATTGATAACAAAAATGTTGCATAAAAGAATAAAAAAAAAAAAATGTAAATGCAAGATTGGCAAACTTATAAAAAATAAAAAAAAAAAAGTAAAGGAAAACAGCGTATGATTTCTTTGATGCATAACTAAATAAATATTTAATTAGCCGAAATATTAAACTTCAAAAGAATTACTAAGCGTAAAAAAATACTAAATATTATAAAATTATTTGAGTATTAGTAAATAATGTCTATCAAGTTATATAATTTACCAGACTTTTTCTTTTAAAAACTTCAAAATTTACGATTGGAAAACTCAAAATTCAACGTTTAGTTCACATTCCACTAAACACTTTCTGTATGTAGTGCACTTTAGTTAAAAATTAAAGTCTGAGATTTTACATTTATATGGTCAACGTATACACCTAATTAATAATATATAAAAAACTAAAAAAAAAGCAAAAAAAAAAAAAAATACAAAATTGACTAAGTTTATGAATTATTTAAACAGTAAACACACACAAACCAAAAATAAACACACACATTTATATTTGGCTATATACTAAACAAAAATATATATAAACATATATATAGAAAGCAAAAAGTGTAAAGAAAAATTAAAAAAAAAAAAAATTAAAAATTAACTAAACTGGATTTTCACTCTGATTTCTATACATACATATGTCTGGAATATGTGCAAGCGTGAAATTTAAGTAAACAGCTTAAATATATTTTTAATGAAAATTCGGATTAAAAAAATTTACGATTATGGCATAAACTTTTGTGTAAAATATTAAATCTAAGCTATACAAAAAAACAAAAAAAACGTACAGAAGAAAAAACGCATTGTAACAAAAACTCACACAGCATGGAAATGGGGAAACAGATATTGAACATAAAGTATATGAACGAAAAATCTAAATTCAATAAACTTGTTGCAAAAATATAATAATAAAAAAAAGGAAACAATAGTTTTATTTACCTAACTTGAATTTAAATCTTGGCGAAGTAATTTGCTATCGCTGTAATCGATTGTTCTTGGTTATTGCATTTTGATTGCTATGGCTCACAAGTTGGTCACACAGTTTACTGAACAGCTGTTCGCTTGTTGTCGTTATCTGTGAATGGTGAATGGACGCCATTGTGTTACGTGCTGACGAATCGAGTAAGTAGAAATTTGTTGTAAATAGTGTTGGCTGTTGTTTTAATTTGTATATAGTACTGACGAATTACAATTTATAGAGCTAATTAAATAACGATTCGATAACTACTTGAAGACGCTTACAAAATTTGTAACAACATAAGAAGAAAGACAACAAACAAGGAAGAAAAACAGTCACAGTTAACAAAATGGTGAGTAATGCGGATGATATGAAAACAAATTAAACAAAACGAAAGAATACAAGTTAAGATGGTTGCCGCCCTAATGCATTAATCACTACTACGATACTTGAATATACATGTGGTCAATATGTAGATACGTATATCTGTGTTGTTGGCCTGTGACCTAAAACAAATGCCCATATATGGAAGTGTTCGTGGCTTGCCGGGTATTAAAGAAGAAGAGGCGGGGGCGAGGTAGAGAAGAAGTGAAACACTTATCAGCTGTGATTGGCAAAAAAAAATGACAAATAGATTTTTTCTACTACCATACTTTCGTTTCTTGCAGTCGGAAATGCAAATGGATTGTGCGCTGGATTTGATGCGAAGATTGCCGCCTCAGCAGATTGAGAAGAATCTGATTGACTTGATTGATCTGGCGCCCGATTTGTGCGAGGATCTGTTATCATCTGTGGACCAGCCCCTGAAGATAGCCAAAGATAAGGAGCATGGCAAAGATTATTTGCTATGCGATTACAATCGGGATGGTGATTCGTATCGTTCGCCCTGGTCGAACACCTACTACCCAGCGCTTGAAGATGGACAAATGCCATCGGAGCGCCTACGCAAGTTGGAAATCGAAGCAAACTATGCATTCGATCAGTATCGCGAAATGTATTACGAAGGAGGCGTCTCCTCTGTTTATTTGTGGGATCTAGATCATGGATTTGCCGCGGTCATTTTAATCAAAAAAGCTGGTGATGGCAGCAAAATGATACGCGGCTGCTGGGACTCAATACATGTAGTGGAGGTCCAAGAGAAAACCACCGGCCGCACGGCACACTACAAACTCACCTCGACGGCGATGCTGTGGCTGCAGACCAATAAGCAGGGTTCAGGCACCATGAATCTGGGTGGTTCACTGACTCGGCAAACGGAACAGGATGCCAATGTGAGTGAATCATCGCCACATATCGCAAATATCGGCAAAATGGTCGAAGAGATGGAGAATAAAATACGCAACACCCTTAATGAAATCTACTTTGGCAAGACCAAGGATATTGTGAATGGGTTGCGTAGCACGCAATCGCTGGCCGATCAGCGGGATCAGGCAGCCATGAAACAGGACCTGGCTGCAGCAATATTGAGACGTAATGTTAAACCCGAATAGAACTGAAGCTGAGTTGAGTGTGAAGCCTTATATATAGACAGTAATCGACTTCAAATTACAGCATTGAGCAATTAGTAAAGAAAGGAAAAACAGACACAAAAACAATGCGCATTTCTAGACATTAAATTTGTTAACGAAACATTATAATAGAAAACTTGTTAAATGAAGGAAACCACAAAAAAAAAAAAGAACAAACAAATGTATTAATGTAAATTGCCCAGTTTTCTGAACATCTTCCTAATCCTCACGCTCCGCCTTGTTGCATTTTTAATATCAAACTTCAAGTCCAGCTCTTTAGACAGTATCTATTAAGTATCTATATTTGAGTATTTTTTTGTATCTGTATAATGCATATATATATCATAATTTGTAATCATATTTTTTGTATTCAAAAGTCGACGCAATTATTTTCACATTTCATTTCAAATTCAATTTTCGATTAGTTTGCATTTTAGTTTTGGCAACGTCTGCTGCTATTCAACATTTAAAATAATTGTGTTTATATATATAACAAAAAAAATTAAATAAAATAAATTATATAAATAAATAATATATGTATGTATGTGTATTGTAACAATAAGAAGCTCGAAGCATAAATTTTACATTATGTACTTTTACCGAAACGCTCTGTATTATGTGACAAATACATTATGTACCGATCAGCGAAACATATATCAAATTATTGATATATATTTATATTGGATTTTCATGGAATGCCTTTGTAGGACAGATATACATAGCCAAAGGTCGGTATCACTATCCATCTTCAGAGAGTAGATTTTTGACTAGATTATAATGAATCATTTAAATATTCTATATATTCTAGTCTGGCAGCTTTTGAGGATTAATCGATGCTAGCTCATCTCAGATAAGTAATGACACTTCATATGATGAATTCATTTCTATCATCTTTAGAAACCAATTTTTTAAATATTTTTGATTAATTTTTTTTGTCACTTTCTAATATATAAAATATAACATTTTCAATACTTTTTATAGCCAAAAAAAAATTCAAGCAATTCTTTATTTTATAAATATCTTAATTATATTATTATTTTTTTTATTTTGCATATACAAGTTCATATTTGACTCCATTTTTTATTAATTTTTCCAGTTTCAAAAACACGTTTTATAAGATAAGATAAGATTAAAGTTTTGCTACAGTTTACTATAACCTGAAACAAAATAGCATATATTGAAATGTTTTTAAAAGTAAAAGTTACAATTAAACCAATATTTATTTTTGTTAGTTGAATATCTGATATAATCAATACTTCGATCAGCGGATTAATATATCTAAACTTCCTAGATATAATATTTTCCCCTCCTTATTCCCCTTCCCAGAACACGTTTTTCAAGTTCAATTAAAATGTTCATATTTTTTGGTTTTGGTATGGCTATGCTTTAGTTTATTTTTCATGAAAAAAATCGCAAACTGCGCTACAAGTTACAAGTTTTATAATTATTTTGTTTATCAATTTTAGTACTTTTTTTTATCATTTTAAATAAGATAAGATGTGTGGCCTTATATCGAATACATGAATACAAATACATTTTTTTAGTTATCAGTAAATTAAATTGAAACTTTTTCCTATTATGCGTATCGTTTTTTCATTTTTGTTTGTTTTTCTTTTTATCAAGATTATTATTACATTATATATGTTTATATAAATACTCTTAGTTTTCTTTTTTTTTGTTTTTCATTATCGACTATGTACAAAATCGCGACAACATTTATGCGTGTATGTGTGTTTGATAAGTTCTATACGTGTAGAGAATCGATTTCGGGGTTCGTTCAATACTTAAAAATATTTTGTAGCACTAAATATCTACAAACTTAACGCTAAGTGATTACGAATAAGTTAAGATTTAGATTTAATTAGGAGGAAAATGAAAGGTTACCTTTGCTATTTATGCTGCTGTTTGTGTCGATTTCATATACAATATTTTACACGGGCTGACAAATTCGAAATGTGCTTGTGTGATGGAAACAAGGAAAAGGATTTGGGTGTTTAACATTGGAGCAGAGGGGCAACAGGCTGAGTAGTCGAGGTGCTATAGTAGACCAGCAATTAAAACGCCTCGGCTCTCACTTAGTGCGTACATTAAATAGTTATAAATACATGTGCAGTATATATATTTATATATAGAAATATATATATATATATATATATAGATATATATATATATGTAAAAGTCTCTTAGGTACACAGCTTATTGCATTTTGGAAACTTCAAACTTAGTATTTATGATTTCCTCATCGGAATCGAGTACAGGCAATGCTGGATCACCCATTGATGAGGGTATATTCTCCTCCACCCAGCGCAAATCATCATCTTCGGTGGTTGTGGCCGCGCGTGCATTTTTAGTGGTTTGTGCGTTGCCATTTTGATGGGAGCCACGCATCTTAATGCCATACGCATCTGCCACAAACTGATCCTCTTCATCTGTAAGCGTAAGATAGAGAGGTAACTTATGCATTAATAATTGTGAATTGTTGATCTAGCTAACCCTCATCGTCCTCATCCTCTGGATTATCCAGTAGCGGCGTAAATGCATATCGCTGATTATTATTTGTGGGTCGCCAAAGAATCATAATGACCAGCAATAGAACAGAGAACAGTATATGCCAAAAGCCTGTATCCAGCCAGATATCATGCCAACCCTGGGAAATTCAAATATATAGACATAGCCAATGGAAAATTTGCAGTTGGACTCACAGGTGTGCAGCTCTCGGTCTTACGCAAACGCAAAGCAAACAACATAAAGACCAACGAGGCAATAACAGCGAATATTAGCGTATTTGTAAAGTGTCTATACAGTGAGAGCTTAACCATGTTTCTGCGCAGTCGCAACGTGCGCGTTGTCTGTACGAGTGATGTAAATATCCACCAGCAAATTACAGTATCCAGTACAGCGAGCGGTATGGTAGATAGGAGCAGCTCGCTTCGATCGCTTTTGACCCGGGTAATACGTAAATAACTTTCCACGCAGGCCAGTACAAAGTATAAAGTGCCCACGCCCACAACGCGATGCAGCATGGGACCCAAGCGAGGTCTGTCAAAATATACAAATTAAAGTTATAATTAAGATAGGCTTCAGATTTAGCCCTTCATATTCCATTACTTGACTATGCCGAAGCCCAGGCTCATTATGATGACCAACATGCGGGCTAGTGTGCGCTTGGCGCAGGAGACAAACTCAGCAACTAGTTCGGCATGCTGCACCGGATGCCCTGTATTGGACACTGTCTGATACTCTGCATAGAAGAAGGCCTTCTCCAACATTCCAAGCAATATGACACCTCCTATCCAGAATTGTATGCGCAGCAAATCGCGCCATTGTGCAAATGAAACAAATAGCCAAATTATGCCGAATATAACATAAACCACACACATGACCAGATAGAACTGTAAAAGTTAGTTAAAAGATATAGTAACATATAGCAGAAATAACTTGCTCAAATTTATACCGGCAAAAAGGGCCAATCGATGGCTGATATGTAGCCATGTGGACCGAGGAATTCAATATGCACCGTTGCACGAAAAGGTTGACCAGGTGGATTTGTTAATATGGTTAGCTCCAGCTCGTAGATCCCATCTTCAGCAATGCTCGCAATTGCCTTGGGCTTTGCCTACAAAAGTGAATTTATAAGATTTTTTATACACTAAAATACGTCTGCCTAATTTAATTATAAACTATAAATATAGATATTTTTATGTACTAACGCTGTTCTATCTGGTTTACAATGTTTAAGGCTCATAATCAGTTGCATATAGTTACCCATTTACATATATTAATATATCGATTCAAAAACTTGTTTTTAACAGTTTTTAGCTATAATTTTGATGACGCAAAACATATCCATGTTTCTTAGGCATTGCTTACGGATTCTTATCAGCAAAATTGTTAAATCTGTTTTATATATCTAACAAATCTGATGAAGCTTTACAAAGTAAAGTAGTATTTCAACTATCCATATCTAATATATATCATATCCAAATTAATATTTTCGCATCAAATGTCAAGCAATCAGGCTATTGTAAAAACTGCTTATTTACGGACTCACAACAGCTTTCTATATCAATAAAAAGTCTTAACTAGAGGGGTTAACATATTACCACTTATGATAAAGCTTCTATTTCAGTGCATATTTAGGCATAGTATAGTATCTAGACTATATATACCTAAGATTTTTATATATACATATACCTAACATTAACTACTACTAACTACTTTTTACACAAGCATGTTTCCTAAGAAAAATATTTTTATCCAGCATTCTCGTACTTCCGCATGGAACAGCCTAACCATTAGTACGCAGTGTGATAAGTAGAAGTTTCAGATAACACATATATAGAGCGCCTTAGGTATTCGCTACTGAGTCACACACACACACATGCACACACACCAGTTATAGAAAGAAAATGTTGCCATCGAAATTACCGCAAGTGGATTTTGGCTCTTCTTCAGCTCATGCACTTCCTCCTGCGCCTGCTTGTTGGCGTCGTCGGTGTCATCGCTGAGTACAATAAGATGCGTGCAGTTGGCATATTTACTTGTGGATTTCACAAGATGGCTTAAGCTAACATTTTTTTGCAGATTCGGTTTGTCGTTGAGTGCCTGCAGCTGAATAAACGTTTTTATTAGTATTAAGTATTAACAAAAATAAATATATGTACATATATATAGGTTACTTACAAATCGAGCTTCGTATAGACATGGATGTTGCGTCAGCTTAAAATTTATAGTTAATGGAACTTCCCCTTCGGAAGAGCATTCAACTATATGAAAGGAGTAAGACGTTAAGAGAGAGAGAGCAGAAAGAGCGTAGGAGGTTAAAGCGAGGGGGTAAAGGGCGGCAGTAAAAAGTTTTCAGTTATTGCAAATTGCTCACGTTGCAAAATTCAGTGCACTTACGTTTTATGTAAATCTTCGTATTTGCTAATAGCGGACGCTGCTCCACAATCGGTTGCAGATCCTAAGCAAATAGGAATTATTTGTACATTCATTATACATAGTTTTTGTTTTGGTTTTTCCGTTTTTACCTGATCTATAACAACGTCAATGATGCCGGGATCGGATTTGCCAGATGCCAGGGTGGCAAAACTGGCAAGTAGCGTAAATGTGATTGTAAAATGCTTCCACATCATGTAAACGCCACACGAAACCACCTAAATAAATATTATTTATTTATTTTCCCTGTTTGGCTGGCTGCGCGTTAGAACAATACTAAAACAATTTATCGGTGGACAAAATTATCGATTGCGGTTCGGCTGCGCAGTCGAATTTACTATTGCCGGTGTCCGCATAATAATAGAGCTATATACTTATTAAATATTGTCACTTTCAAAGCTTTAAATTTTATGAAGTGTCTGTATAGAAAACGAACTCCTAATCTAAATCATATTGTATTTCAATTAATGTTGCAAATAGTATTGAACAGCTGTTCAATTTAATCGCATAGAATACCGCAACTGCCAACACAGATTAACAATACTTGTTCCCTTTTTCTGTGAATGTCAATGTTGTTGTTATCGGCATATCGAAAAATCAGTAGTTAGCATTTTGTTCTAGAATTTGCAGCTTGCTCAAATGATTTTATTGCCATAAAACATGGTAAATGTTATGAAAGGAGTACTCGTTGAATGGTAAGTAGACAATTAAGTCGTTTTAATAATCGCTTCAAAGAAATTCGTTGTAGTGATCCGGCTATGAAACAATTTTTACTACATTTGGATGAGAAACTGGCGTTGGGTCGAAAATTTATCATACAAGACTTGGACGAGAATCATTTGTTTATTTCCACGGATATTGTTGAGGTGCTTCAGGCGCGTGTTGATGAGTTAATGGATCGCATTAGTTTTCCACTCCACGAGAAGGATCCATAAACTTTATATATAATCACTAGCTACAACCAAAATTATGACGGGCCGCGAATCGCATCGCATTAAGGACGCGGAGAAGAAACGGGTGTTAGATGAAGCCGCACGGCTGCGACGTGCACGAAAAGCTCTGGAAGCTCTCGAGCGAGATAACTTTCAAGATGATCCGCACGCAGACTTGGTAATGTCCAAAAAACTACCCAAATTCCAGGAGAGCATAAAGAACGCCAAGGAGAAGAAGGGTAAGCGAAAAGGAGCCGAATACTTTCGTGCCAAATATCGCAAAAATTTTCAACAACTGCTCGAGGAGGACAAACAGAGGCCCAACTATGAGAGCGCAGCTGCGCCGCCGCCTCAAAAGCCAGTCCGTCATTTTTGTGCCGTCTGTGGCAACTTTTCTCAATATTCGTGCACGGCGTGCGGGACGCGTTATTGTCGCGTTCGCTGCCTGCGTACTCATCAGGATACCCGCTGTCTAAAGTGGACCGCGTAAGTTTGGTTGTATAGCTATTAAAATCCCCAATACAAAATGTAAATTAGTTTTAGCATTCTTGCAATAAACATGAAATATTAACTGCTGTCTTTGAAATACATCGATGACGCTAAAGCTTAGTTGAGTGCATATCGATAGGTCAGCTCATGGATCACGATATCATCTGTAATAACTTTCTGACTTAACTTACTGACTAAAATAGTAGTATAAATATTCCATTGTTTAGATCAACTATTTGTTTTAAAATACGATTAAATTTAGTTCGTATTAAGATATCGTAATGTGTTGATGGAAATATTTGTGAGTAGTCCATCTCTAAGCCAGGGTTGTCATGAAGTTCGTATATGTGTCAACATTTGAGGCTTTTCATTGTGTGGTCACACCATCGCGCAGTCTCATTTCATTTTTCAAACGGAGAAGTTGCTGCGCACGTTTAACGCATTGTAAAACAAATTAAATTTTAAGTAGAACGGTCGAAACGTTGCAAACGAAACTAAACTCAAAATCTCTAACAGACATTTAAATACTAGAAATAAATAAATTCAACGAAACTTAAAGGCGAAAGAGCGACTATTAGGCCGGTCGACTGCGTGCGTAAGCGTCCGTGTGCGTGTGTGTATGCGAACCCATTCATATATGTGTGTGTAAGCCATAATCCAATCAGCACAAAGGATACCAAAGCTGCAATTGCTAACAGCAACAACAAAAACAATCTTAAGCAGGAGGAGATTAATTGCATTGTAAAATGGACTTCAATTTTGCGGATCTGAAGAAGGAGGCGGCCAATACGGCTGAGGACATTTTCAATGCAGCCAGCAAGCAGGTCAGCAATACCTACGATGATTTGCTCGGCGACGTTAACGTCGGCAGTGGCAGCGCCAACGTCAGCGGCGAAGGTGTGCAGGACGATAATGCCCATACCGAAAAGTATTTTGCCAATGAGCAAAAGAATCTGGATTTCGGTGATCCACAGGCATTCGTGCAGCGCATGTCCGCCGGGGCGAAGGAGGCGCAGGAGCAGCTGGATGCAAAGTTTGCACAAAAAGCGGATGATTTTGGAGACTTCCTAAAGCAGGGTGTGAAGGATGTCAAGCAGAATGTGGGCGAGTTGACTAGCGACTTTATGAATGTTGAGCGCGGAATGTTCGGAGATGCTAACAAAGTGGCTCCTCCTTCAGCTCCCGCTGCAGCATCTGCGCCAGTTGCAGCTGCTGCAGCACCTGTCAAGCCTGTCCACGATCAGGAGGAGGATTTGCTGGGTTTCAAGCCAGTAACCAGTGCTCCCTTGCAGCCATTTGAGCCAACTGCGCCCTCAGCTCACGACCAGTTTTATGATGATGACGACGATGACTTCCTAATCAAACCAACTCCAGCTGCTGCTCCAGTTGCTCCTGTAGCTCCAGCGCCAGCTCCAACTCCTGCTGTGGCCAACAAGGATTCGGATACAGATTCACCCTCTGTCTCGTATACTCCTTCGCCGGCTAAGAAGCCCATTGCCGATGCTCTCAAGGAGCAGGACAATGAGAAATTCATCTCTTCCGAGGATCTGCTCAGTGATTTCAAGGATGTAGCAGCTACCGCAGCAGTTCCGGCTCCTGCCGCAGTTCCGATTCCGTCTTCTACTCCTGCTTTGATTACCGATTTGGATGACGACGATTTTGTTGCTAAGCCGGCGGCCAAGGTCGAGCCTCCGAAAGTGGTGCCACCAAAGGTAGAGCCGCCCAAGGTGGTGCCGCCCAAGGTGGAGCCAGCCAAACCGGAGCCAGCCAAGCAGCAGCCACCGCAAAAGCAACAGCAACAACAACCAAAAATCGTATCTGTGGAGGAAATCTTTTACAAGTACGGACTTGGTAAGTGAAGATACAAAATAAATATTTCACATGAGACCCAAAAGAGCTTCGGCTAGCCGAATATTTAATAGACTTGCTTCAGATATTGTCAAATATGATTAATCGAATATAGGTGCAGTTTGTCTGATAACTATGTATATATGTATATATACCTAATCTACCTATATATAACTAATCATAGGAATGATATGTTTGAAAAGCTCAAAAATAATTAAAAATGGAAATTTAATGAGACAAAGTCAATTCAACCTATTCTACGATATATAAGCAGGTGCGAATCAAAAGAAATTTTCAATTTTTAGAGCACAATATGTTTTTTCAATATCATACTCCAAAAACTCTAAAATATTTTAAATATTACTAAAGATTTTTAAAAGACAAAGTTTTAAACTTAATAAATTCAAGCATTTAAAACAGAAAAATTTATATAATGTATCAAGAAAAGAAATTAACAAAAAATGGTTTCCTATATTTCTTTCCGTTTATTGGTATAGATTTGAATCTCTGAGCATTGATATCATATTTACAATCCTCAAATTGGCGAAATTGCCAAGTTTTGATAAAGCCCGTTTAGCAATTCGCTCTTTATTAGGTGATCATTCTGATAAGTACAATATATCTGCAGCAAGTGTATAAAATATATGTATCTGACATATACATAAATATATATTATTGTTTTTCGTTATCATTCTGTATCTAATTAGTTTTTGTGCCTGACAACTAGTCATAATGTTTTTTTGTTCATTTGTGTTTTGTTGTTATTTTTGTCTCATTCCCTCCTGCGTATCCTCGACCGCACCTTTGGGCGTAAACGTCACCTCGCCGCTCTGGTCACTCTGTTACAGAGCGGATGTTGTTGCTGTTGTTGTTACTGTTCTTGGTTTTATATTTGTTACTTAGTCACTCTTTTTTTGTTAAACAGTAAACAAGCCGCTTGCACGCTCTCTTCTCCACACACACTCTCATTCTCTGTCTCCTCTCTTTGTAGCCTGCGTGCCTTTTGCTTTACGGCTTTGGCATTTAGTTCTTATTTTTTGCGCTCGCTGATGTCATCGGCATCAAGTTTTGCGCTGTTTTTAATGTACACAATAAATACAACAATGCTTAAATATTTTTATATGTATGTATTTGACGCGAATTGAATTTCAGTTTGGCAAACGCTTTTCGTTACGGCTGAAAATTTGCATGCAATCTCTCACCGACCCTCGCTACCATTCGCTCGCTACGATGCTCTCGCTCTCTCTTCCGGAGCTTTCCAGCGCATCGGATCGCCATTCAGAGTGCAGCCAACTATCGATAGAAATTTAGCCATTTAGCTGCAGTGACTAGCTTTAAAATTACAATTGGCTAAATTTGATGAGTAAAAGCTAATAAAACAATTGTGCCTTAAAAATAGCTAGAATTGCACGCACAAGAGTAGCTAACATTGGGCAGCCCTGATCGAATGGCCTAGAAATACTATCGTCGTCATCGTTAGATTCATCGTGAGTCACGCTTAAATTAGTCAATAGAACTGGCGTATATATTTTATATGGCATAGTTTTAATGTGATTTTCTTATATATTTATACATATACAATTTATTGTATTCGTATTAGACTCTGATGAATCAGCAACTTTGTTGCTCAACTTCTGCTGCCGCTGCTCATGCTGCCCTGCCGTCCATTGACGTGTGGCACAGCATTCATAATTCATATTTCACATTTAATTTTGTTCTTTCTAGTTTTCGAGCTACATACATTTTAGCGTATGTCCATTAAAGCAATTATAGCAAAAGAGAAAAGCGGCAGGCAGGGAGACAGAGCGCTAGCAGCTGCTGTTACTGTTACTGTTGCTGCTGCTGCCGTTTCGAGTACTCTTTAATTTAAGCCTTGCCTGCATAATTCAATTGTCTAGTTAGGGGCCCGCTTCACTGCGCAAATTCATTTCAGTATCAGATTTATATACCCCGTTCGTTAAGAGCAATAGAGTATATTGGCTTTTACAATGCTGGACTAGAAATAGATAGTTTCATGCATATATCCATTTAAATTCAGTTAAAAAGTCTTAAGTTTAATTAGTAATTCCACAGTGTAATTTGAAAAGTCTAAATTTTAATTAGTAATTTCACAGTGTAAAGAGTATTTGGGAGTCAGTCAATCAACCTACTTGATGTGCTCTTTTTTTTCAATCTGCGTCTTTATTTTCGCCGCATGCCGGCAAAATTTTCCAATTAGTAATTTCTTTCTTGTTTGGTTGCATCCGCGGCAATGCCTTTGCCTTTGCCTTCGCCTTTGTCTTTATTTGCTATTTTTATGGCGACTATACGCTAAATGTCTGACTGGCTGACTGCCCGTCCGCCTGTCTCCCGGTCTTACATTATGTGTGCCTCTTCTTTTTTGCTTCCAATTGGCATTGACTTTGCGGCTCGTCATCGACCCAGCTGTAGACACAGTATCGATAACGATAATGCATTTTCTTTACCAGTTGCTCTATTCTCCTCGCTTTCTTCCTCACATGCAAATTGCAAGTGTGTGTGTGCACGTATTAGTGCTGGCAGTAAAAATTGTGTAGTAAAGCTACAATAAAGGTAAATGTTGTGTGAGATAGGCACTTAAAGCTTAAAAATGCCTTAACTGGGCCGAATATTTATAAACTAAATAAATTTCTTCAAGATTTGGGTTTTTGAGAAATTGGTATATTCGCATTTTAAACAAATTTTGAAAATTACATATATAAAATGGCCAAGATAATTACTCAAATTAATATTTGATTAATAACAGAAAAATTCTGAAAAGAAATCGTTATATATTTATATTTGTATATGTAACAAAAAATTAATAATATAAAAATATAAATTCTAACATTCGATATACATATAAATAAAATAATAAACTATAATATGTGCTACAAAAGCTTGTCATAAAAAAGTCAAATTTAGCTCTAAGAAATCGCAATTCGCAGCACTGCTTGCAGCTGGAGGCCCTTGCATTGGCTTTGCCTCTCTCTTTCTCTCTTTCTCTTACTGTTCCTTCTTTGCTCTCCACGCTGATTCGAGGCTTGGCACATGGGCTAAGCCCGCACTTATCAGCGCCTTTTCTTTACACTTATCGCCTGCTTTGTAACTGTAGTTCGGCACGCCGTCATCGCAGCCATGCCGCAATCGAAAGGCAATTAGAGGTTCTTATAAATAGACTGTGAATATCGTCGTACATAAATGGCTATGTACTTATCATGTTATTCCAGATTGTGCTTAAGATAAAAGAAAATTATTTAAATAGAGTGTAACGAAATTTGTGAAAGCCCCAGAAGAAGTGAGACACGCCGTAAATACTGTAAACACTCTAAACAAAGTGTGAATAATCTTTTAGTGTTTGCTCAACTGTGTTCCAAGTGCAATTCGTGTTCCAATTGGATTCCCAACTCCCACAACTGAGTTGTGGGCTAAAAAGAGGCTAATGAGTGTTTCCTTTAAAGAAACATGAATAACTTAAAAAGTTCTTATTTTGGAGCAAGTCTGGCACTTTTCTTTTATAAATAGCTCACAGTTCTACTCTTTGTTTACTTTAAATATAAAATTGAAGGGGTTTTTTTTTTGTTTGCTTAACAGCTCACAATGTGCATTGCATCAATACATACATATATGTATACACAAATTAGTTTGACATAAATAGATCCAATCGAGTGTGGAAAATAATCTTTTATATTCATATACTATATGTATGTATATATATATTTAATGAAAAGGTGTTTGATATTAATTAATGCGCATATACTTGTAAAGGTGGCTATATCAAAAATATTAGTTGTTGTAAAACCCTATTTCAAGAATGGAGTTAAAAAAAGTTTTTTTTTTTTTTTTTTAATTTAGGAATTGTCTACCAGATATACTGATTATTTTGATTTTTATTCCGATGATCTTATCATAATCAAGAATGTTTTGGAAACTTTTGCTAGATTTATACTATATAAGCAGGAAGGTTTTTAGCTAACTTCTATGAGACAATTTTCTTTAAAGGAAGATTTTTGTTATTCATATTTTACATTTTGTTAAACATATGGACTTTATGGGATCAGACCTTTACTTAAATCAAAGTCTAGCAACCCATAAAGCTCTCTAATGACGGCTCAAATAACTGTTTTAAATAATGTGAAAAGGAGAGCGACGAAGGGAGAAGGAAAAGAACTTATAAAGCATTTCTAGGTTAATTGCACTTTGATGAAAATAACATTGAAGTACAGTTCGAATTGCACAACCAGCTGACATTAGCTTCCGTCTCTGTCTCTCAGATGCTTGCCAATCCATTTGCTCTTGGCAAGTGACTAAGATTTCGCATAACTGTTTACACAGTATATGACATAAATCGTAAGGCATTGCAGCTAAGAAGCTAAAAACACAAACAACAAAAACTAGACACAGATGTTTGACGCCCTCTGTCCAGGCGGTTTATTGGATTCATATAAAAATCTTAGACTGAGCCAAACCCAAGCCCAACCTCTGCAGCTCAGCTGCAAGCAGTGCAGGTCCGCACCCATAAGAAAAAAAAATAACAAAACGGAGAGCAAAAAAAGAAAATATAAGCAAAAAGCCGCCGCTGTCTGTTAATTTCCGTGTAACCCTTAGGCCCAACGCCCACTCGAAGTCTACAAAGACAGCGCATGCGTTGTAACGCCACGGCTCTGCCGACTCTACACGCGCTGCTGTCAGCTGCAATTGTTAATCGATACATTTCCCAGCTTTAGCGAGAGCTTTTTGTTTGATGCGAGTAATGCGAGTTCAGGGCTAAGCTCGGTTGCTCAACCTAGCGCACAGGTCGCTTATCGATTTTGCATTCGCTTCCACTTAAATGCTCACTCGCTCTCTCACGCTCTCGCTCTCTTTGAATCGCGCTCTCGCGCCCTCGTTGCGTTGGCTCTGGAACTAGTCCTTTTGAAGCTTTTTTTCAGCCTACGTTCAGTCTCTATACGCGTCGTGTGCCTAACGGACGGCAGTGAATTCTTTTACGCAATTGCCTAACGTTTAACGTAACGTCGTAGTTCGCTAGCTTGCTCTCCTGCTCGCTCTCGTTGTGTGCATTGTTTAGTGCCTGCGTAAAAGAAAAAGAAATATACAGAAATTTATAAATACGCAGATCGAAAGTGACGTTGTAATTATAATTGCAACTGCTTGGTGAATCAAATTTATTTCAATAAGAAAAAGTATTAACGAAAAATGTGTACGATTGGCGAGGCCGGACAAAATGGCGTCTGCAAGCAGCGGCCATTGATTTGCTCCATTTTGGATCCCAGTAAGTTTTGCACACACTTACATGGACACCCATATATAACCAATCAGAAACATAACTAACTGTCAATGGGTGAATGGCAATGCATTTTGTTGTATAATCAAGTGCTACGTGGGTCTGCTCTGGTGCTCTAGCTCTTATACTAACTCTTATACTTACGTCTACTAATTTGTTTTGCATGTTTTAGTTGTTTTTTATTGCTTCTTTGAAACATCGCCTAATGCACGCTTATACTCCCTCTATATCTCTCCCTCTCTACTTTTATTTTCTATCTCTTTCTCTGCTCACTCTAATTGCCTTGCACAACAACACACATATAAACCCAAAATGCTAAACTAACGAAAATCAATATTGTCCATCGCCTATTTGCAGATGCCTGGTTCAAGCCCGAACGTTTGCACCCGCTAGGTAAGTGTACTGAGCGGCCCAGTGATTGTCAAACTGTACAAATAACTGTCAATCGCAACAAACAAACTGTACATAATACAGCAGCAAGAAAATGGATTCTTGGCCACAATATAGGGGTTATATATATAGATAGAAATATTTGTATAATGATGTCATTGTTTCGCCCGCACAAAGCGTAGCTATGCCACGCCTCTGCCCCATCTGTACTTAGCCTGTCCCTTGAGCAGCCTCTATAATGCCTCAAAGTATGCCCCGCTTTTTGTTATACGCATTTTATTGTTGTGCACTTGTCTCTGCGTCTATTGTAGCTGCTATGAACAACCCTGAATTTATGCTTGACTATATTACTAAAGCTCTAAGTACTGCACTACTAAGTTGAAGCACTCGTTTCTTCTATATACCCTGTAGTAAATGGAGGCATAGGCCGAATCATGTTTCGTTTAAGTTTTGATAATTCACTTTATTGGAAATTGACTAGATCGTAATGGGCTCAGTGTAACTAAACGAAAATACTCTTGTAAATCGAATCTACGTCTCAGTGAGATACTCTAGACTTACTTTATGCTCGAATTCAATCCGGTCTGTCCACTGGGAGTTCTCACAACGCTTTGGGGCCTTTGGCAGTCTCTGAGTCTTTATTCCTTGACTTTAACTAGTCATTAAAGAGAGAACTAGAGAGGCGTTCTATTGGAAAAAGTCTAATGAAGTATAAGCTAGAATAGAAAAATACTATTTCTATGATAAATCTCTTTCAACTTTTTACTTCAAGGTACAGTCAAAACCATTCTATTAGGATTCCCTTTCAAATAAACTAAACAATTTTTTTATTTACAATTTTAATTTGAACTAAATTTTAGTTAATATCCGTATATATTAAATTTATCAATTAAGCGGGACGAGACTAGCTTTAGCTTCACTTAAGATGTTTTCTATGATCTATCCAATTTTTAAGAATTTTGTTTATTCTTTTATTGTTTTTTCTCAAAATCTATTATATTTAAAGAAAGAGCTTAAAATTTTTTAATTGAAAGGCTTTTCTGTCCTGAATTTACTGCAATTCCTCTATTTCATTTTCTCTCTCTCCCTCTCTCTCTCTCTCTCTTATTTCGTTTACTTTTATAGCACTTTATTATTGTGCATTGCTTTGCTTTTTCGCCCTCGGGGCAACGCCTATAAACAGCCTGCATAAAGCATACAAAATTTTGCGTCCAGCGCCTAAAAGCGCGCAACACAAAATCGCAAAAGCTAAAAACGGCCAACTGCATTAATTGTGGCCAAAACAAAGTGTTTCTGTATGTGTGCCACGCCCACATAATTAGTGGCCAGGCATAAATGCAGTTCAGTTACCTTAACGCCCTGCCCCTGCCACGCCCCGTGGCTGGAACTGAAGCGGCAAAAGCAAAAAAAAAAAAAAAAAAAAAATGACTAAAAACAGAAAGCAAAAAATTGGTAATCGGATCGCATGCTAAACGCTTTCATGACTTAGCTTTATATGGAGTATATAAACCTCAGTTGGCAAAATGAAAAATGGAAAACCTTTTTACTCGTCTACCAACTAAAATGCAAGCTGATACGCCGTCTGCCTGCCGTGCGCCAAAGGTGCCAGCTGAAGGCGTAGGAGAGGGCGGGGAGATAGAGAGGAGGCGGCGCCCCCTCGCTTTCATTCACACGAGGCTCGCATGCAATCGACGCCAGCGAAACATGCACAACAATAATGGGCATATAGATAGGTATATATAGGTCCACACACACACACACGCATATACAATATATAGTAGATATACTAAATCTAGTTTCATCAGCTTATGAAAGTCAACGTATTTACGTTTCTCGACAGCTCTCGACTGACTAACGCTTGAGCTTTGCCCCCAAGCACATTAACTACATATATATATATAGTAATTGACTCTATCTATATATGTATATAGACTAAATCTCTGTGAGAATTTTCTAGGCCTGAGCTACAACTCGGACTCAGATTCATATCAAACCTGCAATAGAATTTGTCGTGGGGAAATTGTATACAAAAATATAATTTATTGTGCGTAAATAGTTAACATAACAGTACTCAACTCTGTTAGCTGAGCACACTTTACATTAAGCTGCTAAGCTTAACATAGACTGAGCCCATGTTAAACAGTTGTTGAGCTCAAAGCGTAAAGAAAACCTTTGGGAGAATGCTTAAAAGATTAAACACAAAACTTGACTCAACATACAAATTAGTAAATACATTTTTTAAATCTGTCTTTAAGGTAAATCCAATGACTAATATAAGAAAATGTTTAAATAAAATCTTTATATTAATATATGTTTAAAAAGTTTCCTTAAAGTGGAAATATATTTTTACTTAATGTTCACAATGTCTTAGCTCAATTTAAAGCTCTATAAATAAGCCACGTTTTCTGCTTTAATATAGAGAATATAACAAGCTAATGGCTAAAATCTTTCTCTTCATTCCCCACCATCTATGCCGCCCCCTATTTAGTCTTGGCCATAAAATTAGCGGCTGCTTTTGATGCGCCACCCGCTTGGCACGTAAAAGCAATTGATGGACTCGAGTCTACTTATGCCCCGTTTTGGTGCAAAGTCTAGAGATACTTAATGCCCATGGAGTATGCCCATTTGCACTCGAATCCGAATCCGGACTGCCCACTGAGAATTCTCGCAACGCTCTGTGGGCCTTAGCAGGCAGTCGCTGAGTCACAATTCAGTGATTTCGACTTGTCTTGGCCATAAAGAGAGTCAAGTGAGACATTCTTATGGCAAAGACTTGTATTAAGTATAACGTGGAAGAGGAAATACTCTTATTTTAATTCGAGCCAGAATCGAGCTATGAATTTAATAATTCAAGATAGGATTGTAAAAGGATTTAGGATGAGATTAGGATTTATGACTAATACGTAAATTAAATATAATATATTATAACTAAATACTTGAAATAAAAGATCAAAGTTTATTGTCCGAACTCTCAAATAGTTCTCGAGCAATAAAAAAATGTGAAATGTAGGAAAGTATACATACAATATTATAATTATACCAAATATGGTTTCAGTAGTGCAAATAGCTGAGTTGTTTACTGCTCTACCGCAAACCTGTTTTCTCTGAAGTTGATTCATAAATCTGGAAATAGTTTCAACGCCTATTGCAAACCGTTTGAAACATTCAAACAACGCTATTTTGTGATTCATAATTAGACATTTGTTGTACATGACTTCACATATATGTACATGTATATACATATATATATATATAGCAGAAATTGAAGTTCATAATCTGCCTTTCACCTGATTTTTTAGCCGGCCGGCTTTTGTGCTTTGCCAAATAGATTTATTTTTGCTAGAGGTGAAGTGCTTACGTGCCGGCTACTGCATACTCACATTGATTTATAGATACATAGTATCATAAGTAAATATGTATATATTTGTTTATCTATAAAAAATGCTACTCGCTTCCAGGCCAAGCGATTGGCACATTAGATCATCACAAAAATTTGCATTATAGAAATGTAGAATGAAATTTGCATTTGAGTGTGAACAGAAGCTTTTTTTATTTTTATTTTTTGCAAATTGATAGGTTAAACAAATATTGCTAAAAAAAAAAAAAGAACGCACGACTAAAGGATACCCTAGATTAAAATTAAATATATATGAAAATAAAAAGAAATAATAATATATACAATAATTAAATAATAATATTATATTCGTACTAAAAAAAAATTTTCCGGGTTAATTTTTATTCCGGAAGAGAATCTCAACAGTAACTCACATACTAAATTTTGGTGTCTAGAGCTCAACTTTATCTTGTTGTTCTATAAAATTGCTAACTTATTCTCCTCTCTCCAAACATTCCTTCTTCCATTCCTCAGCCATTTCTACAAGCCAAAAGAAAGTGAACTTAACGGAGATAACTAAACAAATTCTTTGATAAGAAATTTCAAGTCATGCGCTATTCCAGTACAATTACGCTGAGTAAGAAAGAACAGAAAAGGCTGCACGTCAGTAGCCTCTGACGTCACGCGAATAAAAACTTTTCCCACACCCACACGCAAGAGCAATTAAATTGATTCGAAACGAATTGTGTTTTGGCGCGTTATTCGGCAAGCAGTTCAAAGCTTATACACCTTGCTCGGCAAGCAGTACTGCCGATTGCTTAACCTTGAATTACTCTCTCAATTATTGTTTATGCTTCTCTCTCACGCGCTCTTCCTCTTCTTCACTCTCTCAATTGTTGTTATTGTTGCAGTTGCTTTAGGCTAGTTCTATAGTCGCTGTCTGCCCGGCCGGCATCTGCGACGACGACGTTGGCGTCGACGCTCGCATTTGTCTGCTAATTTTAGATATTTAGCTGTTTCGGCCATTTTGTTGTTGCACTTATTGTCTAAGCAGTTCGATTTTCGGATTACAAAGAGGGCTGTTGTCGCCAAGAGAGCAGCAGACGGAGAGAGTGAGAGTGTAAGAGTAAGAGTGAGGCCACAGTTTGCTCAGCTAGCTTAAGGGCTGCAACGAAGCGATCGTTAATTTAAATGCAGGCACAGCTGATACGTATAACAGTTATTTGTTATAATTATACAGCGTGTATTCATATGCATTTCGTGTTATACACATGTCTACTGTTTTTTAGTTGAGGATTGCTGCAGCCCTGGTTCGCCCTTTTTTTTCTCATGTCTCATGTCTACCTGTTGACGGGCATTCGCTTACGTTCGTACCTGTCCTTTGCCTGCAACGACATGTTCGACTGTTAGGGATCGTTACCTACTTTTATACCTACATACATACAGCAAGGCGAATAAAATTTACAGCTTGACCGCTCTCTCATCACTGTGCCGCTCTCTGGCTCTCTGCACTGTTCACTGTTCTACATATTTGCAATAGCCCCTATGTATGTAAGCACACACACACACACACACACACACAGTGCCGTCCGAGTATATGTCAGCTGTAATTGTATCAGTGTGTGTGTGTGTGCCTGTCTTTTACCTATGCATGTATGTTTGTATATTTGAGTACCTCGAATGCTCAGGCCCTGCAGCTGAGCGCATCGAAAATTTAATTGTGGTTTAGTTGATGTACGGACTTTGTCAACGCTGCACGCAACGTTTCAATTGCTGCTTCTCTACGGTTCGTTTTCGTGTACTCGTCCCGCTCGCTCTCGTTAGTTCGTGCGTGTGTGTGTTCCTGTCTGTGTCAGTGTTTTCTGTGCGCATCTGTAAGATACAAAGATACAAAAACTTACAAATATGTAAAGCACCATCAGCTGTTGACCTCAGCAACAAGAACAGCAGCAGCAACAACAACTGACTGACAGCTACATAAATACTTTCGATTCTTTGGCGTTGCTCGTTTCACACGTTTTTTGTCACTCCGACCCAAAGTGTACTCTATAAATTATATAACATATAATATATATGTATGAATAATAATTTCATTTTATTTCAAATCAATTTTCAACGGACTTATTCCGATATAGCAACTGTTACTCTCAGTGAAATTGACTTGATCGAATAATAAATTGTATTCTCTTTAAAGAGCTTTGAGGAGATACAAATTGTCACTGCTATATGCTTATAGAGAGATCAAATTAGATAAAGTAATTTTTTGTGTAATTATTATGAATAATTAGGGTATGCATTGTTTCATATGTTAAAACTGAGAAAATAACATAAAGAGAAACAAAAATATACAATGTCATATAGCTATATACATATGTAGTACTATGGGTACAGATAGATAAGCACCTTTGATCTTGAAGGTAGAAAGATATATGCTGTATAAATGATATGTAGATAAATTCAATATAGAACCGCAGCTTAAATTTCTTTCAGTGTAGGCTGCTAATATAGCAATTATATATTGGCAGCTGTTGATAGATCTTTGTTTACATAAAATATTCTATAATATACAAGAATTATTTGTATTATGCTGCACAATTGACTGCCCAATTTCTCCAAGTGTACCCTATACTATGACATTTTATCAGTGCACTGATGAGACGGCTCGTTTCGATTGCCAATTTTGTTCTTGTTTCAGTTAATTTTTGGCAAGTCATTCGCTGCAATCGCCCACTGTCTCTTGCCCGTAGTTGTTGTTGTTGTTGCTGTTGTAGTCTGGGGGCCGCTATTAGTCAGTTGGTTGGACTACTCTAGGTTCTTAGTTTTGTAGTTTTTGGGCTCGCTGATCGCCGTACGCCGCTCGGCCGAGCGCCTCGTTGCTGTTAACGGTTAATGCAAATGCCGTCGCGTCGCGTGCATTTTTTGTAGTACTTCCTAATTCCGTTTCGTATCGTTGCAGTTGCATAGCTGCAGATAATCAGATATATATACATAATATATATAGAGTCGAATATATATATAAACAACTAATCTATAAGTAATGGCTGCTGCTTTAGAAACGCTTCAGGCGCTGTTCGCAACGCTCGCTGAAATTCAGGAATTGCCCTTAAATCGGGAATCTCGTAAGTATTTAGCCCCACTCCCTCCTCCCTCTTTATATAGTGTTATAAGCGATCTACGCAGATAGAATAGATATCTCTGACTTTCTCTCGCTCTCTCTCTTTCTCCCTGCGCTGTTTCCTATTGCAGCTGGCATTTATTTATAAACATTTTCGTATGTGCAAAAAGGCACAAAATATTTTGGTGTCTTCTCTATCAAGCACCTATAGAGCTACAATATTTCCACATAATATTTCGTAGGGTAGACCGTTTATTTGGTCTGGCCTTATAGACATCATAAAAATCCCATATCCATCGGAAAAAATATTTATTTTTCATATCATTTCATAGTGATTAATACAGAAATTATTATATAATTTAAATGTCAAAGGATTTTAAATGCCACTATTTTAAGTTATATTCAGTACTACAGTTTTTCAAGCATATTCTTTATTAAATTTGTTATTTTTGAACTCTATTTGGCTCTTAAAAAATACATACAACTAATTTGTAAATCAATTAGCAGTAGAGTTCGAGGTTGCTTATTTATTTAGCTATTAATATTGTCAAATTACCTGTTTTCTCTTCTTAACAATAACTTGTGATTTATTTTATGCCAAAATGTGTTTGCCAGATTTTTGAAAATTAGAAACTGTGTGTGTTTTCTCGATAGTTCTTTTGCTAAAGTGTCCACTGTACCGACTGACATTCTAGGCAAACATTTATGAGTTTCCGTTTCAGCTATGAAATCAACTTAAGATCGTGCGATAAATGACTAAGCATTAAGACTCTCGCATTATATTTGCTCGCACTAGAACAAAGATAGGCCTATTAATAGGTGTTATCGATAGGTATAGTCGGAGTAGGCTGTTTGGCAAAGATTAATAAGCCAATATAAGAAGCAGAACTACTGATAAATGTAGCAAAACAGATACATAGTGTGGGTATGAATGAAAGATGGAAAGATAGTGAGAGAGATAAAGGAGAGAGAGAGAGAGAGAGAGGGAGTGAGCAACACAATAAAATTGTTTGAAAGAAAGGTAGAGGAGAGAAGCTTAGTGTTGGAAAAAGATGGACATAAGACATAAGTGAGACAGAGAAAGCCACAGAGATAATGGGAGAGTTATATTAAATAAAATGAGAGAGTGAGAGCCAACGTGACAAGGTCAGAGGCGGGGGGGTCTAAAGTAATAGACTAAGAGGAGACTAGAAAAAGCTTTCTTTATATCAGTCGAGATAGAGTATTTGCTAGTTGTGCCCACATTTGTCTTGCCTATGCTACATTGTTGTTTGAGTATTTATGCCTTTAATTTGGCTGTCTTTCATCTGCTCTCGTTTTGATTGCTGCCCGCTGCTGTGTCTGCCACTGAATGTATCTTTTTAATTATTTCATTATCATTATTATTTTATAACATTTCTCGACTCGCTCGCTTATGCAATATGTAAGCAGACAGGTGCAATTTGTATTGTTATTAATATCATTTTATTTATTTATTGTGTATTGCCCGAAAGCAAACTCGATTCACATATTATGTCAGCGTCTATTGCCATCTCCCTCTTTATTCTCTCTCCCTATCGCACAATGTTCGCTTTTGGGTCATGATATCATTTGAAGCAGAGCTTATTACTCATTCACGCCAAAAAGAAAAGAATAAATGGAAATACATAAATCCAAGTAAAATGGGGTTGGTGCGGACATCCCATGATGTCAGAGCAGTTTTGCAGGCACTGTAAATTGGTCTAAAACGCAATTTGTTTTGATTTTGCGTTGCAGCTGGAAAGAGTTCAATGAACACAATATACTGCTTGAAGAAAGGGAAGTTTGTGGCAAGCAGTGCGGTTAGCCCTCACCCTAACTCCAGTGCAGTTCGACGTAGTTTCTTTGCCTCAGCCCTCAGACACAGTCGCGCTTCAACACTTCCAATTTGACGCGCCGTTCATATATGCATATGTATGAATGTATGTGTGTATGACATTTTGTCTATGAATCACGTCAATGCGTTTCGTCGCAACGCCAACCACAACCGCACCCACTACGTTAAATTGAACGTAACGTTACCTTCGTGGCAGCTGGCCGAACTAATACGAAGTCGAATCGTCGTATGCTCTGACACGTTGCTAAACACATTCTGACAAACGCTTGCGCTCGTGCGCGCCTACATACGTAGTCAAGTTTGTAGCTTTTGTTGTTGCAATTGCGCGTTATCTTTTTACTTTCATGAGCTGGGATCGCGCACTCTCTCTCTCTCGTGTGCGCTCTCTGCTGTGCAAACTTGCTCCATTCCAGAAAACTTGTTTGGACTGCGTGCGTGCTGCTTCGTCTCTCAGTTTATCTCTCTCTCTCTTTCGCACACAGCTCCTCTGCGACGGCAGTAGCGCGGCAGCGGCTTATTGGTTTGTTTTGTGCTTGAACTTCTTCCAGTTCTTTTGCTGCGCTCGAAGCAGACGGCGGTCCGCAGTATCGCTTGTAACTTAACAGTTGTTTTTAACAGTTTGCGTGTGTGTGCGTGCGTGTGTGTTTGTGTATGTGCATTGGCCAAGTTTAATTAAAGCTAGACACGCCAATTCAACTTTGCACAATTTTTTGGCGCCAAGTTCCTGTTATAAAGAAGAAAAAAGAAATAAATTCTAACTATGGCCGGTGGCAGCAAACGTTACTCACGCAATAGCTCCAATGGCAACTTCCAGTCCCTACCCGAACGTGGCCCAGGTAAATGCTACAACAACAAGAACGAGCAGAGAATCAAATAACTGTAAACGAGTGCTTATCATCTGTCTATTTTGATTTATCATTAAGCCTTATCTATGCTCTGGCCTGTCACTGCTACTGTTCGATTGCCAACGTCAGCAGCGCAGCCAGCGTGGCCATTAAATTGCTGCACAGCAACAACAACTACATTTACCTTTTGCATAATTTGCTTCGGGCTGCCATTTTTGTTGTTGTACGATCAGCTCTTGAATTTTGATTGCCACGTCGAAAAGTTTCTTTCGGCTAACGGCGCAGTCAACGAACTTGCCTACAACAAGAGCAATAACAAAACTTAACGAAATCAAGAGCGTATAATAAGCATATTCCATAATTTTATGCCTGCACTTGCAATCGCACACTCAGTTGTGCGTCTGTGTGTGTTTAGTCTAATTCAAGGTTATCTTCGCCGCGTGCTCGCTAAATACGCGCTTGAGATGTACACGTGACGTCACAATCACGCACGACATGCAAATTGAAGTCATTTTGAGACATCTGCTTTGTATAAAATTTTGTTCCTTTGAGCGGAAGTTGTTTTTGTTTGAGAAGTCTAGGAACTTCAAATTTAAATATTTTCTGTCACATAATTTAAATCAAAATGGGTTGAAAGCAGTCAGCAGAAAAGAGATTGACAGAAAGCTGTAAGAGATGGATGTATATTTTCATTCACACATCCTTTATAGCATATACTGATACTCATATTTAGCTGCGATCCGAAAGACACCTTTCCATCATAGGCATACTTCTAACAATACTCACGGTGACACCGGCGCACATCTCTAGAATACCTACAGAGACAGACACTCACACACACTAGCATACAAGCTTACATGTTCCTTATCTAGGCACTTTTGGTGCTCGTCTTCTTACTCTTCTTCGTTTTTATTTTGTAGAGTCCACTTCACTTTCTGCGCAAACTTGTTTGTGATTGAAACCAGTTGGTGATCGCCCATAACATTCCCAGCTCACATGCCCCCAGTTCCAGATCGAACTTCCAATTCCAGTGGCCAATGCACTTCTTCCTCCTCTTCTTCTTCGTTGTTGCTTTATCAGTCTACACGCTTTCAATATGTTTAATTGTGGCGACGTATCTTATTCAATTGATAAAGAGACAACCACAAAGGAAACTTTCTCTCGCAGCGCTTTCTTTCGTATGAGAAAATATGTATACACATACATATGTACAAATATATACATATTCATATGTCTGTAGGTATTTATTTATGCTCACACATTGGATTGTCTTTTAACCCAGTTTCAATTTGTTGCCCATCTCTTGTTTCCTTTCTAATTTGCTGTCGATTTGCATAACCTCCAGACGTGTCTGCTTGGCAACTAGCTGCTGATAGACTTCTTTGTTTTTTGTTGTTTTCTAGCTTAACCCACCCCCCAAAACTAGTTTTTTTTTTCTGCTTTTCCTATTTGCTTAGCTGTTGCTGCTTATGCTTCTTTCGTAGCTGCTCGCATGCTTTTGTCCATGATCTGCGCTATTGGAAGCTTTCCAATGCGCGCCTGTGGATGCACTGCTCTCTTTCCCTCTCCTTTGTGCTTTCTCCAGCTGTGAGCCTACCAGGAGTGCGAGAGAGTGAGTGAGCGAACGGGTAAACATCGAATTCTTATTGGAAATGATGAGAGAGAGAATGAATGGATTGACTTTAACTCGACAATAAGATGTTTACTTTAGTATTAATAACAGAGCGAATGAATGTCGAATTCTGATTAGAGATTAAGAAAGTAATATTTATTAAAAGTATAAGCAATATATCAACCTAAGCAACCCCACGCACGCACGCTCACATACACAGGGTATTAAGAAATTAAAATAATGTTTTTGCACCTATTTTGAAAAGTGCTTTAAAAATAGAAGAGGGTGCAAAACGAATGAAGAACACATAAAATTCGTTTTTAATTAAACGCACATTGTTTATTGTATAATGGTTAATGAATCTAATAGAAAAAAACAAGAAGAATCCGCTATTTGAGTACTCTATTTATAGCTAAAATCAATTGAAAGATTCTTCCGCCAAATAGAAAAATCGAAATTTCATTGAATTCGCTAGGCGATTGAGTGCATTGACTGCTAATCGGATAATTTCAATGGGAGGAAAGGAGAGAGGGGGATAGTTATCAAACTGTAAAACATATACATATATTATTTATGTCCATATATGCTTGATATACGAATATCTATATCATTCATTGATCATTCAAGTGCTTTTACAGTGTTTCAATTCGCATCTGTTTCGCTCTCTTAGAATTTCGCTCGCTCTCCCTCTCCCGCTCTCTTTCGCTTTCTCTCTCTCTCTCTCTCTCTGTTGTGCGTGTGTGTTCTTTTGTCCGGCTCTGCGGTCCGGAATATTTTGTTTGAGGCATATAATATTTGTCTAGTATAAAACTTGGCAACGAACGCCTCAAGCAACGATCGCAACAACGAATAAAATGTCGAGCAGAATCTGTGAGTGAGCGATATAAAAATATATATAAATAAATATATATATAACCATAGATATATCATATATATGTACATACATATATATTTATGTATATATACTATATGTAGTATATGTGCTAATCGTGCAACCAATCATTATTAGCTGACATTTGCATGGGCTGCAGCATAGTTGATCTCTGTGTATTAGCGTGTGTGTGTGCTTGTGTATCGCATAGATTGCATAATTGTTAGAGCAAGATATACACACACATACATATACAGACAGCTGTCTCATGGCCTTTGCATGCGTGTGCTTTTTGTGTATTTTGGTCTTCTTCAGTCACTCGTCAACTGTGCGCATTGCCAAACTTGAAAAAAAGAAAGAAATTCAGTGGGTAACAGAAAACAACAAATGCGAAGGAGCAACACCACTGCTTGTCAAAGTGTACAAGCAACTGTCCTCTTCGCGCTCTCTCTTCACTGACTACTTTCCTCTTAGCGTGGCTTTAAAACTGTGTAGTGCGTGCTTTTCATGATGACTTCCAAACTGATAATTGACTGCTTGTTAATCTGCTTGTTTAACTTTTTAAGCTTTGGCTGACTCAAACTGCAGCAGCTTTAGAATGTTGACTTTCTCTTATACTCAATTCTATAGGTAATTGATTATGAATTTTTTTGTATATGCTTCTTCAACTGTAGTTGTAAAGCACAAGAAACTTACAATACTTAAGCTCTCTACACTCTAAACTGTGAAGAGCAACAAGACTTATAACTTTTATATGTGAATGATAAACTGTAGCTGTGTGTTTTCTTAAATTGTAAAGGGCAAGAAAAATGTTCGATCTTTCTTAATAAGTGAGCGTATCAAATTTTGCTTGCCACTTAAACTGTCAGAGCCATACATTCATACAAAGTTCTGCTCTTATATTATGTACTCTTATGTATGTATTCTCCACAAAACTTGAAGTCGATTGATAAAACAGAGCATGGGAGTTACTCAAACTGTTACAGCTGCCTCGAAAATCTATTAAGGCTTACTAAACTTTGCATTACTCTTATACGATTAGTAGTTGCATCTTTTATACGAAACTATATGCACTCTGCTGCTCTTATATTACATCCATCTTTAAATTCTGCTCAGTAGGATGAGTCGTATGCTTTTCAAACTGTAACTGGAAGTAGATCAAACGCTTTGTGCTTCTACCATACTTGAATGCTTCTTAAACTGTAACTAATTTCAATTTTTACTCTCTCTGCTCATTTCCAGTCGAATCGCTGATCTATTGGCGCGATGTGAAAAAGTCAGGAATTGTATTCGGCGCCGGCCTAATCACCCTGGTGGCCATCTCCTGCTTCTCGGTGATCAGCGTCTTTGCCTATTTGTCGCTGCTCACTCTGATTGGAACCGTCGCCTTCAGAATCTACAAGTCTGTGACACAGGCGGTGCAAAAGACAAACGATGGACATCCCTTCAAGTGAGTAGAGACGATAAGAAAGGGGGGAAGGAGAGAAGAGAGATAACCTATGTTTGCCTCTTTTCTTCTTAGAGAATATCTGGAACTGGATCTGACGCTCTCGCAGGAGAAGGTGCAGCACATTGCAGGCGTGGCTGTGGCCCATATAAATGGCTTCACGGCCGAGCTGAGGCGCTTGTTTTTGGTTGAGGATATCGTTGATTCGATTAAATTTGGAGTTATTCTGTGGGTATTCACCTACATTGGAGCCTGGTTCAACGGCATGACGCTGGTCATACTAGGTATTTCGATAAATCTATGGTTAGCTAGACTTATATTAACTTATATTCTTGTTTACTTGATTAGCCTTCGTCTCGCTGTTTACCTTGCCCAAGGTCTATGAGAATAACAAACAATCGATCGATACCTATTTGGATCTGGTGCGCAACAAGTTGACAGAGATTACCGACAAGTGAGATATACCAGCTATACATATATATATATATATAGTCGAAGATGTTAATCTGTTTATGCTTTCAGAATCCGGGTAGCTCTGCCCATTGGCAACAAGAAGCCAGTCGCCGCCGCCGAGTCGGAAAAGGACAAATAGAAAGCAAATAATAATAATAACAACAACAACAACAACATGTTTATTTATTTATTAAGCATTATTTGAATGGTTTGAAATATTCATTTGGGGCATAACAAAATAAATACATCTCTATTATATATATATGCAAATTGTATAAATACAATTTACAAGCAACAACAACAACAACTATGTAAACCCAAAACTAAAAATTTTGAAAACAAAAGCAAAAACATTTAAGAAACAAAACAAAAAAAAACAAAAAATATCAACTCGTAGCAGTTTAAACATTGTCCAAGTGTCTTTAAGTTTTTAAACGAACGAAATCAATTTGCATAAATAAAAATCAAAAATTGTTTTAAAATAAAAAGAAAAACAAGAACACAGCCACAGCAATGCAATTAAGCGTTTCCTCCGTTTCCAAAAACCAAATTTACATTTGACTTTTTTGTTTTTGCAACGAGACTTTTAACGAAGAAAAACTTTGATTTAGTCAAAAGATAAAAACTTAAATGCATAGAAATATTTATGCAAGATAAAAAGAAAAAAACAAAAACATTGTACACCCATTTTTATTAGCAACTTCTTTTCTAATTAATTAAAAACGCTTTGCTTTAGTTCTAATTATAATTTTTGTTGGTTTTTTATACATAAACAAAAAATCAAAATAAAAAACAAGTGAAGTAAAATATAAAACAAATGAATTTTTCTTATTTATATCAATTTTTTTATTTATTTTATTTTTTTTAATATCTGTTTTTTTTTTTTTTTTTTTATAATGAAATAAAATATTTTTACTTCAACTACTTTAAAACTTTCACAATTTTAGAGTAAAAATTAAATAAATTACAAATATATTTTGTCTTTACTTAACACTTGATAAACAATAAGTAAATCTAATGAAAATGTAAAAAAGAACAAATTAATAAAGTTGAAGTTTTAATAGTTACTTTAAATATTGTTTAGCTTATGCTAAAAAATATATGTTCTGTATGTTATATATTTTTTAACAAAAGTTAAAACATAATTAAGGAAATATTAAAACTTCAACTTTATTTGACTATGAAATATATTTGTTTATAGATTTGCAATTTTAATATTTCTATTTACTGTTTTGCAAGTGTTAAATTAATATAAAATATAATTTTAATTTATTTAATTTTTACTCTATGTGTTAAAAGTGTAAATAAATTCTTTCAATATTTGTCTATTGCTTGTCTGAAGAAAAGAAAATAATTATAGTATATATTTTAATTTTTGTTAAAATTTTATAAAATTGAAAACTAATTAACATTTTTTTTATTTCTGCTAAAAAGTAAATAATTATAATTGTATTTCTTAGTAGAAATGAAACCAATTGCAAGTTACTTTTCAATTTTATAAAATTCCAACAAATAATTAAAAAATATATTATAATTGTTTTAAACAGTTTCGAGCAGAAATAAAAAGAATTTATATATATTTTTAGCGAATTTCTAAAAGTTTTAAAATATATGAAGTAAAAATATGGATGAATTTTTTAAATTATAAAATTGGTTTACATTTTCATCGTAGTGGGCTGGCCTGTTTATCAATTGGACCAATTTGTTTGTAGATCCCCTTTCAAACTCCCACTTAAAGAACACGCATCAAGAATATGAAATAAAAAATCTAAATAAATAAAATAAAGTAAATTAAGCAACAGATCTGCTTCGCCTTGTTTTTCATAAACATTTAACTTATGTACAATTAATTTGTAAGAAGTTTTTACATAAATCAAATATTTAATGTAAATTTTTTGTAGCACAGCAAATGATAAAAAACAAAAACAATCGCATCTATTCATAATATCATAAACATCTATTTGTAGCTTAAATGTTTTTATTATGACCATTTGTTGCTCATTGTTGAAAAGAAACTGAAGTTGAAGAAAAAACTAATTGAAAGCAAGAGTGTATTTATGTTTTGCGTTGCTTTTGAGAAAAATATTAAAAAAAAAAAACAAAAAAAACAAAAGATTAACAAATAAAATAGAATGATAAATCAAGGACTACTGATACAATTTTTAGGCGTCGTTTTTTCTCCCATATAACTTACGTAAACAATAGATATTTTTGCATATTATATAAACACTTTAAACGATATTTCTATATATATATATGTATGTATGTAATATGTAAGTGAAACTCTGAAATGAATGCGAAATTTTTTCAAGTGCAAATCAACTTCTATATATCACGTAAATGTGCTGCACAGTGCACAGTGACAGCAAATAAAATAAAAGGGTAAAAAAGTGAATGTCGCAGAGCTGAGTTGAGATATGATCGCAAAAATTTCAATAAAAATAAAACTTAAATAAAATTACAATTAAATTCCTTTATTTACTTAGCAAGCGAGTAAAATCAAACAGCTTTTGTCCGGCATAGGAATACAGTCTCTCAGAAGCTCACAGAAACTCAACAGTTTCAAAGCTTAACGCTAGAGGGCACTCCGCATGGACTGCCATAAAGCATAGAACGGGCTCTGTCGAAAAAAAATAATAATAAACAATACGCATGTATGACCTTCGTACAAGGTGACTGGGACACAGTGCGCGCGCGACCAACTAGAGAGCGTAGATGAGCGCGAAAAAGCGAGCGCGTTACAACGAAAGAGCTAAAGAAAATGCAATAAAGCATTGCAAGCAATGCCTCTAACATTAACATAAATTTTGCCAATGCCAATTGGCGAATTCCGTTGAGTATTTGACGCGCTGATAAGACCAAAAACGCTGAGTGTGCCTTAAGCAGAGTTGTTTACAAGAGAGCAGTTTAACGGAAGAGAGAAAGCTGTTTTGTTCGAAAACACAAGAGAGTAAAGTAAGTATTGCTGGCAGTAATATACCCTGCATTAAGTAGTTGGCGTGGAAATATAATGAATTGCTGTTTGCAAAGATATAATCTTTTAGTGTAAGGCTTGCAAAGAGTTGATATATATGTACATACATGTCTATATTATTTAATTTAGGTTATTTTGGTCAAGCAAGCAGATGTGTGACGTTGGCTGACAAATGAAGTAATATACCTCACAGCTGAATGACTGTTGGGCATTAAAAGCTCTCGTGACTAATAACGCATACGAGAAGTGCACGCTGTCTGAGAAGTGCTCCGGATTTTGCAGCGAACGGTCGTATATACTTGTGCGCGCAACGTTCATCGTCTTCGCTGGCTCGCGCATTAAAATTCGTATTATAGTTTTCCTACGCACCCACGCAGGCAAGAGCAGCGACAGCGGCAGAGGCAGAGCAAGTGACAGGCTGATAGAAAGAAAAAAATAACAACTACCTCAGTTAGCAGCAGAGAGTCGAAGGCAAAATGTCGAAGCCACAATCGGACGCGGATCGCAGGAAGCAAATATCGGTGCGCGGCATCGCTGAGGTGGGCAACGTAACCGAGGTGAAGAAGAACTTCAATCGCCACTTGCATTACACCCTGGTCAAGGATCGTAATGTCGCCACGCTGCGCGATTACTACTTTGCTCTGGCCAACACCGTCAAGGACAACATGGTCGGCCGCTGGATACGCACACAGCAGCACTACTACGAGAAGGATCCCAAGGTTAGTTGACAACCCTCTCTGTCTGGATTATTGATTTTATTTAGTGCGTACTCGAATTTTCCAAATGCCACCGAAAAATAAACCTAACCCAACTTTGACTTCGAAAAGGAGGCCAATGTTAGCCTTTGGGTTTCTTAATTTTTTCGGGTCATTTTTTTTTCGTTTTGCTATTACGACATGCATTTTGTGCTCTGCGCTTTCGGCCCATATTCTTAATTATATCTCACACTCTCTGCATTTAGCCAAAAATTTGTTTTTGTTAGCGCTTTTATTTTCTGTTAATTTTTATTAACTTCTCTTTCCTTTTTATTTTCATTTTTGTTTTCATCCGTCGCTCGCGCTGCCCTCGCTGCAGCGCAGCACCTTCAATTGCTATGTGCTTTCCTCCTGTTCTCTCCTCCCACTTTTTATTTCATTTCGCCTAATTGCTGTAAATTTTTGGTCGCTGAAGTGCAGTGGGATCAATGCCAAAAACGTGTGAATGCCAGGCCAGAGCGCTTGAGCTACTTTCACTGCGGCGAATTTGGCATGGGGTGGCGAATTCATGCACATTGCAAATTTCTGCTAGCGTGTGTGCATGTGTGTGTGCAAGTAGTGTCTTAGTCTCAAAAAGCCGGTGTCCTACTCCATGAGCAGCTGACAAAGAATCACAAAAAGAAAATTATAAATAGCTTATTGTTGCCATCAGCAGCTGTCGCTGTCGCACACTAGCTTAGATAATTTTAAAGAGAGTGGGAGAGAGAGAGAGAGCGAGAGAACGGGTCAGCTCAAATAAGAGCTTGTAAAATATGAATTTAAAATAAGTAATTCATATACCCTGCTTTTACTTAGTTGGTATGTGGGGTATAACAAAATATGGAAATGTATGAAAACTACATGAACAAGATTTTTGGGGAAACTTATTATATATATAATTGACTTAATTTTCTTGAGATCCAGGGGGCAACCTAAATATACAGGGAGGATTGTATTATCGAATTATCGATTTGATTTTCCTTGAAATGTTAATCTTATCTGAATCTCATATAAAACTCTAATGGGGTTTATTCTTTACTATTTTCATATAAAACAATACTTTATAATTCACTAATTAATTACGAATTCGCTGTATATTATTTATTATTTAAATTAATATTTCTCCAATCTTGCTCAGCTATTGCTTTTCATCCGACTTTAACAATATATAGGGTATTCGTAAGCACTCTTAACATTTATAGTTAGTTATCTTGGTTATTGATCAGCTGAGTAAGTCATAAATGGGGTAATTAAATGTTGAAAACAACTTTTCATATGCTCCAGTCAATGCTGAATCAAGGCATATCCATCAGATACACACAGAGCCACACACACACACTGTGGCACACACACACACTTACACACGCATTCGCAAACACGTGCGAAAGTCGTGCGAATTTATTTGGCATAAACTTTTGTCCTTGCCTGAATGTCAGTGGCAGAGAGCCCTCAAAATTCCATAAGATGTATCTAGAAGATACATTTACATATGCTGCAGAACAGCTGTTGAACAATTTGTAGCTATATTCAGAATTCATTAAGAAAACAACAAAAAAAGTATTTTTTTCATCAATTTAACTAATTTATATAAAGTGCGGTATTATAACAATTAGAGCATGGGGAAACATAGCTAGATATATATATGCTAATATAGGCATAGCAGACACCCAACCAACATACACTCACATAGAGGGAGGTACATATTTTCAAGGTCAATCAAAGGTTATTAACAAAAACGAGAGTCGTCGGAAAAATTTTCATTTATTTTCATTTATATTATTTTTTTGTCTTCGCTGCGTTCTAGTTTTCGTGCGAGTAGTTGTGTGTGTGTGTTTGTGTGTGTATCTATGTGTAGTTGTATTTATATTTATTTTGGTTCCATGAAATTGGGACCATAAAAGAAAATTTTCGTGGGGTTAATTTATGTTTTGTTACAATTTCATTGCGTAGTTACATGCCAATAGAATTATATATCTATATACATATATATCTGTATCTACAAAGATATATATGTACCCGACATATATCTAGATTTACGGTCATATAGATACATTGCAAACAAGCTTAAACTAGCTACACTTAAACTTAATTGAGTGCCCACTTCTTTTATGCTTCCATTTTTCTCTATTCTTTAAGATGTGCCAATTGGGCAATTGATAAAAAAAAGGTCAAAGGGGTAAATGAACTCTATTTGAAAAAATATATATACTATTATTATTATTTCATAAATTGAAAACATGCGGTATCAGTGTTAAATCGATAGAAAGTTATACTATACTATATAGTAGCTTTGATTTGACTAATTGAATTGGTTAGAAGTAATTTACATATGCATAGATAATATATATGATCATTTCATAAGTCTGCATATAGACTTTATATGCATTTATATACAAATTTAGATTTGATATAATTTCTCCCAAAAGATTTCAAAGGAAGCAAATGTTTCAAAGTGTTACGAGTTAAGAGTTAAGAGCTATAATGCATGCAAGTGAAATTAACTTTTGTTGAACAAGTACTGAAATATAATTCTTTTTAATATTCAATTTAGGTTCCTCACCTTTAGTACCTTTTAAAATGTTGCCAAATATACGAACTGATTGGAAAAATATTAATTTACATTTTATAATACTGAAAAGGGTATTGTATAGGGCATCATTAGCTTGAACAGCTGTTAGGAAAACAGTTAGGTCATTTGTTTACAGCACGCGGCCATAAATATTACCATATATGTAAACATCTATATGGTATAGATGTATATATACATATACATGTATAATATATGCCGTATAGTTTTGAGATTCGATTTCAAATGCAAACACACGATATCCCTTATCAGAATATTGTCTCGACCACAGAAAAGCCGCAATAACATATGTTCCGGCTCTTTGTGGCCCAAACTATTTGGCCCTAACTAAAATATTGAAATTAATTAACAGACTTATCTCCAGTCGTAAATATGAAATATAATGGAATGCGTTATCAGACCTCCCTAACCTATAGAGCTATAGCTCATCAAAGCTGTTTTTACTGGCCAGAAGTTGGCAGCCTTTTGTCACATGCAGTTGGTAATGACACATCTGTCTCTATATGAGAATTATTAGCTGGCTCTATGGCAACCTTATTTGATATATGTATATTTGTTATTGCTGATTAACTGAGAAATACTCTGTTATATTATCAATTATAAAGAGAAATACTTATATTTAATTGTTATATAGCTAGATATGATGAATGTTATGTGTGTTAAATGTGAAATGTGAACAGAGAGGTACTATGGGAAAAGATATATTATATTTATTATTAAATTATTATATTTAAGCACTTTAAAAGACAAGAATATCATGAAAATATCCTAAATTTAAGCTTCAATAGGAGCGAAATATTCTTCGGTTGTAAAAACAGATGCATTGACGGGTGGACGGACGGACACAAATATGGATTGATGGACTGACGGATAGTAGCTAGGATATAATGAATATAAGAATGTTAAAGGCTTGATCTGTAAAGTTATATCAGACTCTTTCTATACAGCACTATTATTTTCATGATCCCAACTGTATATGGGAATATATTTATATATATCAAACGCTTTTATAGCTAAATATAATGCTTCCTGATAAAAATCTATGCCCCCAAATAAAATAGCTACATAATGCTTGAGCCATGTATGTAGATTTAATCTAGGAAATTAGATTTTAGCATTAACTAGACCGCTTTACCCCTTGCACCCGCGAGGCTTGTCTTTTTGCTGATATGGGCCAGAGCTAGCTGATAACCGATAATTGGCACATAGCACTATTGTCGAGACATTAGCTGGCGACAAATGGAAATCGTCGATCGATGCCGTCGTCAAAACATCATTGACCAGAGATGCAACGGATGATAGATAGACGTTACACTCAAGTGCATTCCATGTAGGGTTGCATAGAAACATGTTTCCATAACATGCGCCGATTTGCATCCGTAATCTACTATATATATGTATATATAATACTAGGTTTAAAATATGCCCTTTGCAGCGCTTAGCATTATGTGATTAACTCTGTAGCCGGCTGATCAATCAGTTCGAACGAAAGCTCTATTTATAGCATCCCATGTAAAGATCTTTGAAATTAGCAACGCGTTGATAAGGCACCAGTGGGTGACCTTCTCAACAAATTGGAGCCTACCATATGGCCGGGCGTACATAACTAGGTAATTGGGGCAGCTGATGCTGTTGTTAACACGCCTCACACTAATGTACAGTGGCGCTTGCTGGCTAATCGATTACCTAATGTCATGATCACATCTGGTTAAAGGGAATACCCTGCATTCGGTAAACGATAATAAGCTCCAGCAATACAGATATAGACGATATATCAATTTGATATCTAAGCTAAAGTCTCTCAATTAATAATTAACTAACTATGTACAAATTATTTAAGAGAATGCTATACTTAATAAATAAGTAAAATATACAACACAAATCCATTACAACACTGCACATACAAAATATCATATGGAACTAAAAATCTTGATAAGAATACCCATTCCTAAATCTAAAAATAATATAATATAAAAAGTATAAAAATAATATAATATATATAATAAAATAAATAATAAGCGATATAATCCTAGGATACTTTATTGTAGGTTATTTGTTTTGCTTCCTATGTTTACATTGCTGCAATCAGCATTAATATTGATTGGGAATACCCTCTATATGACTTTACTAATCAGAAAACAAAATCTAATAGTTAGACAACTTTCAAGATTCCATTTGATTATATTACAACTACATCGAAATCTATTTTTAGAACTATATATTTTTTCACCCGAGTTGCCAACTAATCGAAAATATGAATATTTGATTACAGCGCGTCTACTACCTCTCGCTGGAGTACTACATGGGCCGCTCTCTGACCAACACGATGATCAACTTGGGCATTCAGAGTGAGTGCGAGGAGGCCATGTATCAACTGGGTCTGGACATTGAGAACCTCGAGGAGATGGAGGAAGATGCTGGCTTGGGCAATGGTGGTCTGGGTCGTTTAGCGGCCTGTTTCCTCGACTCGATGGCTACGCTGGGTCTGGCTGCCTATGGTTATGGCATCCGCTATGAGTACGGCATCTTTGCCCAGAAGATTCGCAACGGCGAGCAGGTGGAGGAGCCCGATGATTGGTTGCGTTTCGGCAATCCCTGGGAGAAGGCGCGCCCCGAGTTCATGTTGCCCATTAACTTTTATGGCCGTGTGATCGATACACCCGAGGGCAAGAAGTGGGTGGACACGCAGAAGGTCTATGCCATGCCCTACGACAATCCCATACCCGGCTACAACAACAACCATGTGAACACGCTGCGTCTGTGGTCCGCCAAGTCGCCCGTGGACTTCAACCTGAAGTTCTGTAAGTAGATCTGCATATATAGTTCAATAAAGACCTTTTACTAATACTTTTCGCATTCCTCAAACAGTCAACGATGGTGACTACATTCAGGCCGTGCTGGATCGTAACCTTGCCGAGAACATCTCTCGTGTGCTGTATCCCAACGATAACTTCTTTGAGGGCAAGGAGCTGCGTCTGAAGCAGGAGTACTTCATGTGCGCTGCCACCCTGCAGGACATCATCCGCAGATACAAGGCTTCCAAGTTCGGTAGTCGTGAGGCGGTGCGCAACTCCTTCGATCACTTCCCCGATAAGGTGGCCATTCAGCTGAACGATACGCATCCATCGTTGGCCATACCCGAGCTGATGCGCATCTTGGTTGATGACGAGCATCTGGAATGGGAGAAAGCTTGGGATATCACTGTACGCTCTTGCGCCTACACCAATCATACCGTGCTGCCTGAGGCTCTGGAACGCTGGCCCGTGTCCATGTTGGAGTCGATTTTGCCTCGTCACTTGCAGATCATCTATCACATCAATTTCCTGCACATGGAGAATGTGAAGAAGAAGTTCCCCGAGGACTTGGACCGCATGCGTCGTATGTCCTGCGTTGAGGAGGATGGCGAGAAGCGCATCAACATGGCTCATCTCTCAATTGTTGGCTCCCATGCTGTCAATGGTGTCGCTGCCATCCACTCGCAGATTCTGAAGGATACGCTATTCCGTGACTTTTATGAAATGGATCCCAAGAAGTTCCAGAACAAGACGAACGGCATTACACCCCGTCGTTGGTTGTTGCTCTGCAACCCGGGCCTGTCCGATCTCATTGCCGAGAAGATCGGTGACGAGTGGCCCGTGCATTTGGATCAGCTGGTTGCCCTCAAGAAGTGGGCCAAGGATCCCAACTTCCAGCGCAACGTCGCACGCGTCAAGCAGGAGAACAAACTGAAGTTGGCTGCTATCTTGGAGAAGGATTACGGTGTTAAGGTGAATCCTGCCTCCATGTTTGACATTCAGGTGAAGCGCATCCACGAGTACAAGCGCCAGCTGCTCAACTGCCTGCACATCATCACCCTCTACAATCGCATCAAGAAGGATCCCACAGCCAACTTCACACCCCGTACCATCATGATCGGTGGCAAGGCCGCTCCTGGCTACTATGTGGCCAAGCAGATCATCAAGCTGATCTGTGCCGTTGGCAATGTCGTCAACAACGATCCCATTGTTGGTGATAAGCTTAAGGTCATCTTCCTGGAGAACTATCGTGTAACGCTGGCCGAGAAGATCATGCCCGCCGCCGATCTATCGGAACAGATCTCAACGGCTGGTACTGAGGCATCCGGCACTGGCAACATGAAGTTCCAGCTTAACGGTGCCCTAACCATTGGAACTCTGGATGGTGCGAATGTGGAGATGGCCGAGGAGATGGGCATGGATAACATTTTCATCTTTGGCATGACCGTCGATGAGGTTGAGGCCTTGAAGAAGAAGGGCTACAATGCCTACGACTATTATAATACCAACCCGGAGGTCAAGCAGGTCATCGACCAGATTCAGGGCGGTTTCTTCAGTCCCGGCAATCCCAACGAATTCAAGAATATTGCGGACATATTGCTGAAGTACGATCACTACTACTTGCTGGCCGATTACGATGCGTACATTAAGGCGCAGGATCTGGTCTCAAAGACCTATCAGGTACGCTCTGAAAAAAATATATAAATATGGTGCTCAAACCAATTTTCTATCTTTTCTGCTGCAGAATCAAGCCAAGTGGCTGGAGATGTCCATCAACAACATTGCCTCCAGTGGCAAATTCTCATCGGATCGTACCATTGCCGAATATGCCCGCGAAATCTGGGGCGTCGAACCCACCTGGGAGAAGCTGCCGGCACCGGAGGATCAGCAATAAATCAATTCAATTAACTTTTTTTGATATTATCTATATATTTTATTATTCGTGTGCTTTACTTATGTTAAAGTCCCCAAACCCCACAATTTTTAGGAGCCAAAGCTAGCGCTAAGGAGTGAACATCGATCGGGCTCATTGTTATAAATATTAAATATCTTATTTAATAAATTTTAAACAAATCCATTTGCTAATCTTCAATTTGATGGAAACCAATTAGCGAATCATTCTACCCAATCACCATTCAAATCTCAGGAACAACTTTCAAAGTAATCAATAAAACAAAACGAAAACCAAAAAGAAAATTGGAAAACTTCGTTTGCAACTTAGTGCAAAGCTTTGTTTTAGATATGGATATAAATATGCGTGTTAAATACCAAATGAAATAAAAGTTCAACTGTTAAATGTGTAAAGAACAAATTAATTGATCTAAGGGTTAGGAAATGTTAATAAAGAATTTTGGAATCCAATTGGGTTAGGGGAGGTTACATATCGGAAACCAAATAAGCTAGGAAATGCTAGTAGCCAAAAAAGAAGGCCTTTAATCAGAATTAATGAAATCGCAAAGATACAGAAAAAAGATTTTATTGTATTTCGAAAAGAGCTAAAGGAGTTGTACAGAATTCAAGATACAGCTCTCTTTTTAACTGGTCTCAATAGCCATGGTAAAAGTTTCAAAATTTTCGGTGGCAAAGGCAACAAAGGAATTTCGCTTGGTTATTGGACTCGTCAAGCCCAGTGACAGCTTTAATATCAATAAACTATAAAATTGTCGTGCAGGAGGAAGCTGACCCTATGAAGCCACATCTGGATCGATTGCTGACCAAACCGAAGCCAAGAGCTGCAGTACCAACTAAAATACGACGCATCCGTCGTCTCTTCGTTAATATTGAGGCGAATGGCTGTCCGAAGTTTAGTTGCTCAACGACTAGGCCGAGGGTTTTGGTCAAGCCCTCCTACGATCCGTGGGCTGTGGCAAAGTGCCAGCAAATGGAAATGAATTCGGCTGTGTATGCTTACGCCTTAAATAGTCTATGTACCGGCACCGACTCTCATTGGAATGACTGTGGACTAGAGCGTCCGTCAGCTGGAGCGAGCGAGCCAGGGGACATGAATGAGCTAAGACTATTGCTGGACAATTTGAATGAGCTACAGAATGGACAGCAAGGCAATTCGTTTTACCAGCCAAGGGAGAACCTGGTTAGTCAGTCATGCCGCACAGCCGACCAAGCACAGCCCACATATTCGATGGGCAGCTTACCGAATTACTCCCAGCAGTTCAGCGAACGCAATATGAACTGCGAGGCGGATATTCGTAAGGCGGAGCTGAATACCCTCACCGATATGTTGCAGCAGACCATGGCCAAGCTGGACAGCCTCGTGAGTCTGCAAACTGAAAAGCAAGCGCAAGTACCACCTCAGCTTGATATGAGCTATATGCCACAGTTAGGCAAGCTATTGGACAACGGATCGCCTTTAGGTCTGCTAAGTAAGGTCCCTAAGTCAACCCGAGCCAAGCGCTTGGTAAAGGTCATGCCCGTACAGCCCTTGGTCATTATGCCGGCAGCCGTAGCTAATCAAGCTACAGCTACACCGACTGTAGCACCAACTGCGCCTGTAACTCCTGTTGCACCTGCCAAGGTACCGTACACCAAATATCGCACACGCCTGCGCAAAAAGCGCTTCAAGGCCGCTGGCACCAATACTTCAGCCGACAATTCGGCTAACTTGATGAGTAGCTCACAAATAGGTAGGGCTAATTGAATACCTGATTGCGTTAATGATATCACTGATATCTACCCCTTATTGTCTCTACCCCCAGCTGAGTCTGCTTCCCATGTGAAAGACTCTGGCACCACCATGTGGTGTCCCAGATCATGCTGCAAACATTGCTGTGGCATTGTAACCGATAGCGCGACTAGCATGTCCGAGTCGACTCTCAAGACACAACAATCGGAAGCTAAGGATACGCCAATGACTCCACTCTCCAGCCCTATACAGTTGACAATGCCACAGAGCAGTTTTCTGGGAGTATCGCCCCAGCTAAGTTTATTGCACGCTGGCAGTCACACCGAGGGATACCAACAGAGCAGTCCTATGGATCCTGGGAGACTTAACGGACAAAACAGTTACTCTAACGAGCTCCCACTCTCTACTCTATTAAGGGATGGCAATTATAGCGTGGGCGCTTCTGGTAAATATACCGGTGGATCCCCGCAGACGATTTTTATAGCTCCTGGTAGCTACGAATTGCCGCCACCAAAGAGCATGTTGAAAAATCACGGAAGCTACTATGAGCCGCCTTCCGCTCATGGGTATGGAGCCCACTACCAGCAGATGCCAGTCGCAACAGAGATGTCAGATCAACATCCAACAAGTCACGACATGGACTATGAGTATACTTACAACAGTCAAGCCCCTGAAAAGGAACGGTCGCGTGCTGGAAAGCTCAGCTACTCCTACACGGAAGAGGAGGAAGAGGAGCAACTCAGAGCAGGCTCAGACTCAGACGCCGAGCAAAGCTGCGGGGACGAGTGGTACCATAAGGTATGCCATAGTCTAGCCGAGCTGGAAGAGGAGCAGAGTTATTTTTCCAATATGAATACTCCTCAATGCACCTGCGACAAGGGGCAGCAGACCGACTGCCTAAGCACGCACCAAAACACAGATCAGTGCAGTTGCACCAGCGACCTGAAGGCAGCGGTAAATCCGAGCAAGATTGTGCCGAGGTGCAGGAAATCGAGTCTGAAGTGTAGAAGGCGTAAGCCCCTAGCTAAGCCACAGAGTCAGGTGAAGTCTGTCAGTCTTCCAAAGACACAAACCAAAATACAGACTCAAAGCAAAACCTTTCCGCTGGAGATGGATCAATCGCTGCCCAAATATCGAGTACTCAAGTCCATGAGCGAGGCTCTTCCAGTTGCTGCTCAGAAACATAAGAAGAGACGCGTTTACACGTGCAAGCAGCTCGCCAGATATCAGAAGCTGTTGGCGTTGGTAGAGAGCACTGAGGAGACGTACGCAAGGATCTACAGGGAGCTCAAAGGTAATCCCATGAACAGAAGCATACCGTTCCTTCGAAAGCGAGCAACTGGCTCCACTACTTATCCCACCAACTGGCCACAGTTAGGAAATTCAGTCACGCAGCATGCTCTGCTCGAATAGAGTTTCAGTTCCTATCATAAATTTCAACATTTGGGGGGAGATGGATACAATGCAAAAGAGAGGAAGATAAAGATCGACACAAAAGACGGAGAGAGAGCAACTATGAATAGTGATTACCCGTCCGATTGTACGGCAAGTTGTGAAGCTTCGTGCACTAGAGGACGTAAAATTTTTTCACCAAGGGTTGAACTGCAATTAGATCCTAATTACGAGAATTTTATCGTACATGAGCTAGAGGATAGATCCCAGTCTGTGCCACAGTACTTCACCAACCAGTGGGACGTAGAAATGGCTGACAATACAATGAAGAACAACACTTGGGAAATCGATCAGTCCATCAGATCAGATCAGAAGTATGAAGATTACGACCTTCAGGATAACCAGCCCGAAATGAATAAGAACTATTTCGAAGCAAATGATATTTACGACCCAGAAGATAACCACCCGGAAATCAAAAAGAAGTCCACTGTTCTAGTCTTAGTTGTCAAGTAGGTACAGCTTTAAGCTTTTACAAGAAATTAATGTAATTCCCTATACTTTTCTATAGTTCCGCAGCCATTTATCCAAATGACAATAATCCGTCTCCAGCTCCCTCAAATTTTGGCCATCAAACGGAACAATATATCCCAGAAAGGTATTGCTTTATATACATATATACGTAAAGAAAGACTTCTAAATTACGACTACTATTCTGAGCGTCTGTTACAATACGATATTAGATATCTCTCAACACCTAGATACCTAGGTGTCTACTGATTCGATGTGTCCTCTTCTTTAATGCCCAGACAGTAGAAGTACTGTCATCTCGTTTCATATCATCATTCTCTTTCAATTCGATACTTTTACAGACAAAACGATGCTCGAGCAGCTCGAGCGAACCATCAAGACCTCAGACCTTGCTGTGGACAACGGCCAATCAATGGGTAAGATCAACTAAACCGTAAGGCAAACCCAGTTTCTTATTGATCTATTGGTTCAGTCAAAGGGATCATGCGCCCCAGAACTCTTTCCAAAATCAGCCGCAAGATCAGGATCTGTGCTCGTGTCAGGATGGCAATGAGGAGTGCTATGGTGAGAATTCAAATGCGATGGACTGCCAATGTGAGCCAATGTGTGATTGCGACTGTAACTGCGATTCAGGAGGTGGTCAGGTGACAAATCAAATGGGCCAGGTGATAAATGAGTTGGGCCAGGTGACAAATGGGTTGGGCCCGGTGACAACTGAGATGGGTTACGCACTTTTAAACCTGCTGGAGCAGCACAGAGCTGCGGCAGAACAGAAAGCAAAAACCAAAACTACAACAAATAGGAAAGCTACAAGCCAGAAAAGAAGAGCCCATAAAACAACAAATCAGAAGTCAGCAAGCAGGAAAGCAGCAGACATGAAAGGCACATTCTACAATCGATTCTCAACGCCACCTTTTGTGATCGAGCCAAAGCCTCGTTGCTACTTCATCCGAGGTCCGGTATGCTGCAACACGTGCAACACGTGCAACAGTTGCAACAGCTGTCGCTGCTGTTATCAGTACTAGGAGAAGTGAATCAGAGATAGGGAAACCAAAATAAATCGAAAAACCAAAACCGAGAAATCTTTGTCAAAGTGTGGAATTTAATTGTTGTATAAATTGTGTTGTGACTCGACCTAGAGCTTTACTCTTTGGCATTTGGTAAAGCATGATGGGTTTACGTAAAAAGCGACGCTCTTCCAAGCAAACTCTGCTCCGAAAGGCTATCAAGAGGACAAGCGATGTGGCCGTTAGGTCGCCAATGTACGACTTGCCCAAATCTCGAACCAGCCCACAAGCAAAGACCATCACAGTCGTGAGCTCAATCAACAGGGATGCCCAGCTCAAGCAGATCATGCAGCACTGCCTGTCGAACAACTCAGCTTCCGGCTGGGAGCCCAGGGAGCACTTGTACGGCGGGTCGAACTTAAGATCCGCTAAATCAATACCCAAACGAAACTTTGTCAATGGTAAGAGTGACACATGAAATGCAACAACTACAGAACTAAACTTCTATTTCTATTATAAAAGACATTGGACTTGACCGCGAGCCCTCGAGATCTTCCAAGTGGTCGAGAGCTAGCTCCTCTGGCTATCCCTCTAGTTGGAATTTGGATGTGTCGCGATGCGACGAACTGGACGACTCGTTCACTGATCGGATCAGTCTAAACAAGTTTCTCAACTGCAAACCCAAAGTCGGTCGAAGTCTGGCACAGCGGAAGAAGAAATGCAGTACGGGTGTACAATGTAGGATACCTCATCTGTCCAGGCAGACACGTTTCAAGGCCAGATCGAAATTATCCTCGCTTAGCATAACTCAAATCGGACTGGTTGAACCAATCGCTGGAAGATACGACAAACAGTTTCAAGATGCGCCACAGCGAGTGCCTAGTGGAGAGGCGAGACTGAGTACAAATAGCTTGTTGCAAAATAATGGAAATGAAAACAGAACTAGGCCCTTCAATGGCGGTTACACCTCATCGGATTGCAGTTGTGAATGGGATTGCGATAAAGTCATTTACCCAAAGCAATCGAATGTATACATTGCCCATGAAAACGATAACCAAATTCAGGCTCTAAGTCGATCGTCGCCTGATTCGCATCGTGATGTAGATGAGAGCAACACAAGAGTCTCGAGTCGTACAAGGCAACAGAAGGGTAATGAAAAATATGTAGATATCGGTCACAGCAGCCATGAGGAAGGCAAACGAAGGAACTCAAGTCCCAAAAGCCAAGAAAACGGCAATCGAAGGGGGCTTTCTAAAAACCAAGTAGAGAGCAAACGGGGGAACTCAAGTGCCAGGGGCCAAGTAATCGGGAACAAACAGATTGGTATGAGCGAAGATGAGTGCAATGAAATAGTCAGGCGAAGAAATCAAGGAAGGGGAACAGAGAGTCGTAGAAACCAACAAAACGGCAAGGGAAATGGCATTAAAATAAAAGATCGTAGAATGCAGAAAGGCTGCGCTAGGTTCCTCTGTCCGAAAGCTATCGGAAAATCGGATCATTTCTGTTACTGCAATGCAGAAGAGAATATGGATATGCAGGGCAACCCACAACCGGATGAAGTATGCCAGTGTGAGTATTTCGAGACCGACGAGCCGAGTGGAAAGCAAAATGCGAGCAAAGAAAAAATAATAGGGATAGCGAGACCTCAAAGTTTTGTCCCAGAATCAATGTCCAGTTCAAGACAATTAATAGGTCAAGATTCGGAGCACAGCTCAAGAGAAGGCGAAACTCAAAATCGTAAAGCTCAGTTAGGAACCATGTCAAGCTCACGACAATCAAGATTTCAAACCCAAACAAAATCTGCAAGAAGCTCAAGCTCTCATGCAGCGACTGGGACCTTGAGAGAAGTGCGAGACTCGACGTCTAGAAACAAAAATAAGAACACTGAAGTAGGTAATCGAAAAAAGAAGAGCATAGGAGGAGACTTGAATAGTTCAGCGCAAGTTGATGTCAACAGATGCATGAAGGTGCCCTGCCCAAAGGATGGTAGAAAGGCGGACCAAGGGAGTTTCAAAACTAATGAGATGCATTACTGTTATTGCAAAGCAATCAAAAGTGGAACTCAAGAACCGAGCGAAGGATGTCATTGCGCCAATTTCGATAGCGACGAACCGGACGGAGAACAAAATGCGAACGTAAATGAAAGAATGATCGAAGACGAACGCTCAAGAACCAATCGCAGCGGGGTAGCAACAGCTCCAAGTTCTGACCCAGAAGCAATGTCTAGTTCAAGACATTTAACAGCTATGAGCTCAAGCCAATCTAGGCCTCTAGATGGTAGCCAAAAATCAGCCCAGCGCCTTAGAGATGGAACTCAGAATCCTAAGTCATCAGCCTTTGCAGCATCGACATCGAAAAGTACATCAAAACAATCTGGACAACTGGCATCTGCTCGATCATCGCCTAAGCGATCGAGGCCAGGAGCAATGTCTATCTCAAGACAACTAGGTGCTGACAGTCCTAAGCAAGAATCTATTTCAGTGCCAAAGCGAAATGCAGCGCGTACAGATCAAAGTACCACGCAGACTTCAAATAAATCTGTGGCCATTTCCAACGCCACACCGAATTCTGTCCAGTTTACGAGCCACCAATATGAAGTGTGTGACCCCTCGAATCAGCCGTGGTGCATGTTTGGTAATCCACAGTGGTCAAACAATTGTCAATATCATGGTTGCTCAAACAGGGAACAGACATGGAGGAGTTGCAATGGACACAGGATATGCAATTGCTATTGCCAATGTTGCTTAAGGGCTCTCAATAATCAGAATTCTATACACCCTAATTCGGCAGCGACTTGGGTGGAAGAAGGTGCAGAGGGAGAGCAGCTCAAAGGACCGTTGGGATCGAGTCCTGGATCAAGCTTAAGGTCTGCAGCGAACACGGTTAGGAGCCTCGATTCGAAAACGGACTCAAAACTGTATTCGCCACAGGGCTCTGGATTGGTCTCGGACTCGAAAACATACCAAGTCCCAGGGAAAACCTCTTCTAGATTTCCGGATAAGAGCGCCGCAAAACTAGTGGATAAAAAACTGGCCAGATCAGCAGAGGAATGCCATTCGATCTGTCCCAATTGCGGCATTAATATTAATGAGTTTATACGGAATTCTAAAAACAAAAACAAAGGATATCCCCCAATCACTGTTGAAGAGGATAAAAACATTTATCAGTCGCCATTGCAAATGAATCTATCCAAACAGCAAGGGAATGGGAAATCATACGAAAATAATGACAGGAAAAAGGAAAGCAGTACCAAGCCTCATTGCAATTGTGCCACCTGCACGAGGGAGTGCAAACGGTGCAAGATATTACCAGCTGAGGGCAAAAAGGGCGAGCCATTGGTAAATCTCGTCGTGAGTGACAAATGCAATATACAGCAGTTAATTGAGATACTGAATGAGACCAGTGCAAAGCTGGAGGAACAGCAGAATTTGGTGAACCAATCCGTTGGGAAAACGGCTACAGCAGAACCTGTATTCAATTTCGATGGTAACATTGCAAATAACAATTGGACTTCAAGCAATCCGAATAATATCGATAAGCATCAGATGATGGGGAATCATAATACGCAGTCTAATCGGAGACAGGATAATCTCAATGTGAATTATAATTCTCCACCCCCTAATGCATATCCACAATACGATCCGCGATTATCGCAGACATACGAAGCTCCAAACGCTGGTACTTTCCCAAACTCCGTGAGAATTCTCACACAAACCGAATACGATTATCCCGATCCAGCTGCTGGAGCATACCAGCCTAACGCTTCGTATAGAGGTGAATGCACCTGCTATCCAACATTAAATAATTATATACGTAGGTGCAGTGGCTCTACTTTTCCTAACTGTACAGGTGACAGTGCCCAGACCAGCCCAGTCGGAAAACAAGCAGTTCTACAGAAGAATTTGAACTCAAAATCCTTCTTAGAACTTCTTGATCTGACAATGGCCGTAAAAGAGAAAGGGGCCCTTCAGAAGGACAAAGTTTTTCAACCTATGCAGAATATGCAAATATCTAACGAAGAGGAAAGGACTCTTAAAGTGAGCGACTACACAGTTCATACGAATACCAATGGTGAACAATCGGATAGGGTTTATAAAGACATTAATCCAACTCAACCTCCATTTTATCTAAATGAAGTATTTAATAATCCGTCAATAGAGAAATTTAAGGGTAAACCAGAATATGAGAATAGAAAAAATGTTGATAAATTTGAATGCAATTTCTATAAAATCGATGATAGAGGCAATAGATCATGTCAACGGAAAAGGTTTTCGGATATAGAACACCCAGGCCACCCTCGGCGTAAGGCAGAAGCTCTTCATCAAAGTCAAGAAAAAGCTCTAAGAAAAAAATTACTACGAAAACAATTTGAGCTAGAGCAAAACACATCTGATTCGGATTACTTTAGAGCAGCTAGTTATACGCCAGAAATTAGAATATACGATTTAAGAGAACGAGACATTAGAGAGAGGAAAAGGTCTGGATTTGATCAAATGAAACTAAGTGAAAGTTCACCCAAGTCGTACGGCTTCGACTCTTGTAGACGAGTTTCAACAAGCTCAGAAATGAAATTAATGGAACGCGAAGCACTCTACAATGACAAGGAAATACAATCGGAAACATCATATATTGATTCGCATTATAGACGTCGACTTCCAAGGAAAGCTGATTCTCTGCGATACAGGCAAAAAAGTTATTCAAGATTCCAAAATCTTGCTGCAAGGCGTTCAAAATACAGGTATCTTTTGCGTAGACGAGAAAAAGATAAGAACGAAACCTCAAATCTCTACATGAGGAGCGAAACAAGATCTAAAATGCTTCTATCAAGGAATAAAATGAAGGCTAATGCGATTGGAGAAAGTCCAAAGAAGTCCAACTCACGAAGCAGTTTTCCATTTAGGAACAGCCAAAGAATTATAAATAAAGTCGTTCCACTAGCAAAAGAATTAAATGAATCCAAAAAAAATTTCACAATGAGATCAAAAGTTGAAAAAAAAGAAAACACATATTTTGATTATTCGGATTATTCGCAATTGGATCACGCAGAATCTAAGAATTCGAAATCGAAAAATCAACATCTTCCTATCAGAAGAATGACAGAAGAAATGAGAGTAAATGAAAGACCAACTTATGTGGAATCAAGAAGCAGAGTATTTCCGAATAAATTGCTGGAATCAATAAAAGAAAGAAATAGCATTAAAGGAGAAAGTGAAAGATCAGATGCTTCGGTATTAAGAAAAATGGAATCAAGAAACAGACTCAATCCATTCAGAAACAAAATAGAGGAAAGGAAGTCAGATCATTCGGAGTATAAAAGTTTTGAAGCAAAGCGCCGACTTTTTGCTAACGAAGGACAAATTAAAGTTAAAACATATAAATCAGTAATAGGTAACTTAAATTCAAATAAATCTGTTACATCCTTCAGCCACAAAAGTGAAAAGAAAGCCAAAGATGAAAGTTTAGATTTGAAAGCCATGTCTTTTCAGCCAAACTCAGTGATAAGTAAAACAAAACGTGATAAGTGTGAGCTACCTGAAATAAAAGCAGTTAAAGATCGATTAGAATCTATACACAAGTCACGTTTTTCAGCTCCTCTTCGCCAAGAGAAAGTTCTTAAGAAATGCGCCCCCATTCCTCCACCTAAACCAGTCAAAAAAGGAGCCTCTAGACCAAGTGATGCCGTCTCTGCTTCTAACCACAAACAACATCGAGCAGTTCGAAGTTTGCAACAAAATCAATCCGATGGCGATGATATTAAAGTGCTATACGATTCAAGCTCTAAATTTTCGAGGCACAGCTGTGGAGATGGAGACACAAACACCGATTGCGAACCAGATACCAAGCCTAGAACAAGTCAAAATAATTTCTTTTCCATGTTATTAACTCGAGACAAGCTTACGGACTCCAAGCGATATTCCTGATAATCAACCAAGACAAATTTATTAAGTCAACTCCAAAATTTTCAAAAATTCGCTTCGATAGTAAATTAAATTAAAATTGCAACAAAACACGTCTGCGACTGTTTATTAACACTGCTTTGATATGACTATCGCCAGTCGATTACATATCAGCTGTTTCGATACATGTGGCGGTCGGTCGATTAAATATTATCGACAACTCTGCATAACATCAACAATTGGACCTCGTCGTAATTGTTGAAAAATGTTAAAATTTTTAAATAAAACGCGACAGTTGCTGTATCCAAATGTGCGTAACTTGTCGCATACCGTCACAGTTTGCCAGAGCAATGCAGCAACTGAATCCACAACGACGACCGGTAAGGAAACACTTGTTTCCAAGCCGGCTCTAATACTGCCCCAGAATTATGCGGAACATGCGCCCGTGAGCCGAAGCACTGCACGTCAGGCGTGGATAGAAAATGTGGATGCAGTGACTGAAAGAAAAGTAGGGCTTATGGAACTGCATCCGGATGTGTTTGCTGCACAGCCGCGCGTCGATGTCATCCAGGAGAATATTGAGTGGCAGCGCAAGTATCGTTATGTAAGCATGGCACATACCAAAACACGCGCCGAGGTGCGGGGAGGCGGACGCAAACCCTGGCCACAGAAGGGCATGGGTCGTGCACGGCATGGCTCGATACGTTCGCCACTCTTCAAAGGCGGCGGCGTCATCCACGGTCCGCGTTCACCGACCACCCATTTCTATATGCTGCCCTTCTACAAGCGAGTGATGGGACTCACATCGACGTTGAGCGTCAAATTGGCGCAGGATGACTTGCACATCATTGAAGATGTTGAGATTCCCACGAAGGATGCGCAGTTTATTAGGGATTTGATTCAGGAGCGTAATTGGGGACCTTCTGTACTGATTGTGGACAAGTAACTAAACTACACATGTGCTTTAAATTCCTCTATTCAAGTCTTAATTTCTATTTTAGGCACGATGTATTTCCAGAGAATATTTGCTATGCTACAGACTCGATAGGCTATGTGAATCTGATGCCCGCCTATGGCCTGAACGTCTATTCCATGCTAAAGCATGATACATTGGTGTTGACTGTGGAGGCCGTTAAGCATTTAGAGGAGCGTTTGCTTTATCAGCTCCATCGAAATGATGCAGCCAGCAAGCAAACCAAATTTAAGCTCGATCAAGTTTAGATTAAGCCTTTATATAATTTAATTGTATTTACTTGTACATGATTTAATACAAATGAAGTTTGTTATGCCTACTGCTTCACTTGTTGCACAGCCTGGGAATTGCTTCTAAATGCAGTTTGCAAGGGATCTTTATCCTTTTCTGAAACAATGACCTCACACTTTTCTTGAAGTCTCTCCTTCAGTATGCACTGAAATTCACGCAGGAAACCGCGCTCCGAATTGCTGTGATTGCAAAGCAGAACTGTCGTCCCATTGTGGTTGAAGTCCAGCAACTCGTGATGCGACATCTCGCCAGTTATGACCAGATCCGCTTTAATGCCCTTTAGGACTGATCCGCCGGATCCCGCGCATATCCCAACGGTATGCACAAAAGTCTTTGGATGATGGTCCACAGCATATGCCACATGCACGCTGTTGTCTATGTGGTCTTGGAGTGCATGCACCAACTGGGAAATGGGCATACTGGTCTCTACAAGACGTCCGGAGCCGGTGCCATCAACTGCGCCCGGCTCTGGAACCAAGGGCTTAATGCCCTTTATATCTACTGCCTTGGCCAGCCAATCATTGACACCGCCCACCACTTTATCCCAGGCCGTGTGTGGAGAATACAATGCCTTGGAGTTAGCTAAGCATCCGACTACTATACGCTCCTTCCAGTTGCACATAGTAATGCGTGTCAATGGCCGGAAGATTGGCGGATGATAGCTGATAATCAGATCGACATTCTTCTCCAGAGCTTCACCCAACACGGGCTCAGTGAGATCATTGGTTAGCAATATGCGCTCCACATGTTTCTGCAATTACATTCAATACTATTTTGTTTTCTTATGTATTTTATATTCTTAAATCACTTACATCTGTGCTTGGCTCGATCAACAGGCCCACGTTGTCCCACTTTTCGGCCAGGGATGCCGGTGCAAACTTTTCCAGCACATTGACCACTTCATTTAGTTTCAGACCAGAGAATGTTGCCATGCTTCTTCTCAGTCTTAACGCGCTGCGTAACATTCAACAGACAATCTTCTACAACTACTTCAAAAGGTAACTCAACCAAAGTTTGTATAATTTTAACAATGAGTGCTGGAAAACGTTTATAAAAGTCTCAGTTGGAACTCGCAGCACCAACTACTACTTTGGCGGTTGTTTGAAATTACGTTTTAATATTTATGGAAGAATATATTTAAGTACTGTCTCAAAATGTAAATAAATACAATGTACATTATTAAAATCATTTGAAAATTTTCTAAAAACTAGAAAAAATAGTTTTCTAACACCTCTTCATGTGTGCCTGTGTGAAATCCAATTGAAGTCACTTGACTTCAATTCAACATTACTTTTATCTGGGTTAAACCGCTATTTTGCGGCTCATAATAAGTCTAGCAATTAAATAAAATTATTCCAAGAATTGTTACATCATTAAATGCGTACGCTATATGTACATAGACGTATGTATATTGATGTTGTTATACCCTATGATTGATTCAAATAGAAGTAATATATATTTAATTACGAGTCAGATGTATCTATACACATACATTCATCTAATATACGATCTGAAACTGATTTTGATGGGATCTGTAAGCATAAAGCATCAGAAATCTTTTTTTAAATTTATAATGTAACGAAGTAAAGAACATATATTAGTCGAACACTCCCAACTGTAGCTCTATGTTCAGTTCCCGCAACTTGGGTTTTGTGAAGTCTTCGTTCTTCCGATCCCGCATTTCAATTTAGCAAAACATATTTGAAATTTTTAAAGAGTCATTTTAAGTTTTTTTTTATTATTTTTGTGAATGCGCCACTAAGTCAAGAAAATCCCAAGTGACGAATCTGAAAGCAGATAAGAAAAGACGCTAGCAACAAAACACATAAGAGTAACAACAAAAAAACCCGGTTTTTTTTAAACCAAAAATGTAAATCACACGGACACAAAAGATCAATGTCCTTTATTACTTAAGTCATACATTAATACTTTCCCAAATACAATTAATTTGTAATGTAAATAAATTAAATAACAGTTTAACATATTCAGTTGTATCTCATGCATAAGTCCTTTTGCATTCCTTTGCGCACTCATTCGTTTCAACTATTCTCATCTGACTGTTGCATCTGGCAACATCTTTTCCTTTTATTTCTTGCTGCAGCGTTGCAGCCATTTTTTGTTGTTCTTTTCTATCTGCATCTTCGTCCAGGCGTCGACGTCAACGACATCGAACTGCTGTGTTCATTTCAGTTTGGGACGCGGAGCGGGTCACATCCGTTTCGACAAAGCAAAAGATATTCTAACATATGGTATGGTTGTCTCTCAAATAATTGCTGTTCTTGTTGCCTATGTGGGAATTGTTGTTGTTGTTACTGCTGTTGGTTTTGAGTGTGTCCGCATTTAAATCGAAGCTTTGGTTGTTAACGTTGCGCGCCTTATACCGAAAGCTTTTGATACGCCGATCTGGCAGCGCCACTTGGTTTCCCCCAACCATCAAAGCTTTACCGTAAATATCGCTGCAAAGCTAAATTAAAGCAGCTTTAACGCAATTAATGTAGTGCTATTTTCAACGTGAAAGAGTCGAGACGTATGTATTTCAAAGCGGAACGCAGTCATATTAACTACAAGTTAAAAACGAAACGCGAATAAATGTGGAACAGCATGCGAAACAAATTATAATAATAGACAAATTAAAGAGGTGTGTGAGTGTGTTGAAGCACAATGAATTTACAATGATAATATAAATTCCAATATACATAAATATAAATTAAACAAACAAAAGAGCAAAACTTATAATTTGTGTGCAATTGCACACAAAAATAAAAGCATAAGCGATTCAGCAGCGTGTCTGCTCGTTTGTACGTGTGTGTTATTGTGGTGTCTGCGTGTACGTGTACTGTAGCTGCTCGCGTTACTGTGCCTGGATGTGTGTGTGGGAAACGAAGACAGGTGCTGCACAAGCTGAAAATAAAGCAGGCAAATTGAAATAAATATGTACACGAAATGCCTATGCAAATGGAATTCTTCTAATTATCCAATGAGCAGCAGAAACGACTTTTTTTGTTGTTGCTAATCATAACTTTGGACATGCGCTAATCTGCTATTCCGTTTTCACTTGTGTTGGGCACTATATATTCGTTTCACTCGCGCACACGGCAGTCGAGGCGAGTGCCAGAGAGACGCTTAAAGCGCAGTTACGCGAGCTCTTCGTATATGTACATGTATATGCAATCATATCTAGGTGTGTGTGAGAGAGAGTGTCTGAGTGTGAGTGAGTGCTTGTTAAAGCTTTAAAGCAAAGTTCAGCGTGTGAATTTCCATTAAATTGTTAAAAAAAATTTTACAGAAACAACGACAAACTATAGTTTAACAAAGAATACGAGACGTTGGCAAATCAATTGCAAAAGAAACAAAATCAGCAAAGTAACTTTATTCAAATCAATAATAAAAGCAAAGGCCAACAGGCAGGCAACATAGTTCAAAATGTGGAACCAAACGACAACAGCAGCAACAAGTGAGAATAACAAGGCTAAGGAAACGGTGGAGGATTGTAGCTGTGCTGTTGGTGGCGTTGCCAGCGCTGCCACAGCTGTCAGTGTTGAGCAACAGCAGCAAAGAGCTGCACTTGAAGCTAACAGTAAACAATCAGCAGCAACAACAACAACATCATCATTTGGCGGCAAAAGCAGCGAGCAACAACAAAGCAGCGAAGCCGCCATTAACAAGAACAAAGAATTTGCAGCACAAAGTGAAACAAGCGATTCTGGTTTCATCTCCGGTCCCCAATCATCGCAAATATTTAGCGGTGAAATAAGTGACGACGAAACAGGACATCAACAGGTGAAGGAGAAGAAGAAGGAGTCGGAGCAGGACAAGCGACAGGATCAAAGCCAAGATCAGAAATCAGAC